GCAGTATAGGTCTCATTTCAAATGGCCACTTCGACTTGGGATCCTTCCCTTGTTAGATCGGTAATTGAGTAGTGATTGATCAATGATATGAAGTAGTTTATTTTCAGTGTTCAACCAAATGCCCGGCTACTCAGGACTGCCATCGTCTCCGGGCTCGTCTTCAAGCGCGGCCGCAGCTATCGCCGGTCGTGGCGGTGCTGGACAACCATTCGACGCCACAGCGGCACTGTATGCAAATCTGAGCGCTGCGCAGCCATTTGGAGATGGTGGACTTTACGTTACGCCACAGCCGCTGCATACCTATCACAACAAGGTGTAAGCCAGTAAGCAACAGGTTAGTTGGTGCACTGCATTCGAGGAAGCCGTCCATTGAGGTTGAAGGCGGTTTCCACAATTTGTTATCAATTTACGATTCTTCTTTTGTCAACTAATCTGGGCGCGATATGATGGCATTCTTTGAAGAGGAAGGGAAGAAACTTCAAACTGAATTGGTCCAGTGCGCCCTTAAGTCTCAATTATGGTATGGCCTAGTAGGACCTCTTCAGTTTTATGTGTAATGAGTGAAACTGGGTCGTGTACTCTTGGTTCCTCAGCAATCTCCCTCAGGATCTGTCCAATTCGATCTGTGAAAGATACAGGGTGTATGCCCAGACCCATTCTCTGTTTCGCATAGAATGCAACCCATTAGCTGTTTCTCGGGCCGCAATATGCTCTCTAACAAGGAAGGTCTTTTAGAGCGTGGAACGCTTTTTGAAAATGGTTTTTTGCATGGTGTAGGAGCATGAGCACTGAGTATAAAACTATGGTCCATTTCCGCTAAATGGCCTTCTGAATGCCAAAAAATGACTGAAAACGATTTTGTCAGAAATCGCCGTTTTAGCCCACTCAGCGTCGTTTGTTTCATTCATGGCGTCGACTGTCCGTTCAGTAGGAGGCGTCAGTTGACTGCGCATTGAAAATAACGTGAAAGGTAGCCAAAAAAGGGGCCACATGTTGAAAAGTGCGGGGAACTTTCATATGGGCTCTCCACGGTTAAGCTGCCAGCAGCGTCGGGTGGTTTGGTGGATAACGATGTGGACTTCGAGGAAGGACGACTAGGATGGGTTGGTTGTTCGGAAACTCTAGGCTTCGCCGGTTTTTGCATTTTGCTGCCACCTCCAGATTGACTCCATATTGCACCAGGGCCAAAGCAAGTGCCTGACTAGTCGTGGTCGTGACCACGACCAGCCTGGCACATAACCTCTACAAGCCNATCTGGAGGTGGCAGCACAAAATGCAAAAACGGCAAATCCTGGAATTCCGAACCATCAACCCATCCTAGTCGTCCTTCCTCGAAGTCCACATCGCTATCCACCACATCACCCGACGCTGCTGGCAGCTTAACCGTGGAGAGCCTATATGAAACTTCCCCGCACTTTTCAACATGTGGCCCCCTTTTTTGGCTACCTTTCACGTTATTTTCAATGCGCGGTCAACTGACGCATCCTACTGTACGGACAGTCGACGCCATGAATGAAGCAAACGACGTTCAGTGGATCAAAACGGCGATCCTGACAAAATCGTTTTCAGGCATTTTTTGGCATTCAGAAGGCCATTTAGCGGAAATGGTCCATAATTTTATACTTAGTGCTCATACCCCTATACCATGCAAAAAACCGTTTTCAAAAAGCGTCCTACGCCCTGAAAGACCTTCCTTGTAAGTGTATATACACACCAACAACACCTCCACTCTCAAGCGAGCGGTTTACGTTTCAGGGACCATCATGGCACGTCCATGCCGTTCTTTTTTCTTGCGAACACCAGATATCGTTTCACCTTGCACTTACCAGGGAAGGATCCCAAGTCGAAGTGTCCATTTGAAATGAGACCTACACTGCTAGACGTGTTTTTGGATGCTGAGTTCAAATCTGTTTTCCAAATTTGCCGAGCGTTTCTCTGAACGGAGTTATGAGGGTGGTTTCAGGGAGTTTAACATGAGAAAACTTAAATTACATGGATGCTCCTCACCTCTCAACGGCGGCTTGGTGTAGTGGTAAGCGTGGCGCTTTATAGGCGAGAGGCTAGGGGTCGGCTTTTGTGGGGGACGGAATTTTTGCATTATATAGAATTTTTCCCTTAAGGACTAGAAAATGCTCCTCTTGTGAGATTATCACGTTTTATGACCATTTAATGCCTTTGCTGATACCTTCTGCTGCCTACCTACCCGTTACCGAGTGGGGGATTCCTCCGTGCGCAAAATTTGGAGGTCCAGGAGGGAAAACGCATATGATGAGCAATGATAATGCTAGAGTGGGTGTTGATGCTAGATTGGATGCGATGGTGCATAGCAGCTCCGGACTCACCAACACCGGCGCTGATGATAGTGGACTCGATGACCAAAAGCTATTCAGTGCACCTTACCTCACAAAAGCAGGTGAAGGTATTGACACCCTGCTCGAGGCTACCAAAAGGCTAATGCAGCCCGATAGAAGCCTATTTCTCATTTCCTTTAAAAAATATGGTTAAACGCACCACCCCATATGAAATAGCTCATAATCTCAACTTTTGCGTGTACACACGAGACCCCATCCCTCGCTCACTAACGCTTGTCCACTTTCAGATCTGTCCGGCTAGATTTAGGAAATAACTCATATTCGCAAAAATTCATGGCATGCCGCCGGCTACTTGAGCACTCACCCGGGTGATTTTGGGACGCTTACACGATTCTGTTTTCCATCTGATTCGGGGTTAGTAAGTGTGAAGCAATGGATTGAACGAGTTCTTTTTCATCCGTTGCTCCCATTGTGAGAAGCTTCTTTGTTTCAAGCATTGCGTACTAGAGTATCACATTTGTTCATTCAAGTGACAAAAGTTATCCTACTGTGAATGTAGAGTGCATGGGCATGCAATTAAAACTGAAGTATCACTTTATGTGGACAAATATCAGTAAAAGCATTTAAAGGTCATAAAACGTGATAATCACACCATAAGAGTATTTTATCGTCCTTAAAGGGAAAATGCTATGTAATGCAAAAACTCCGACCCCCAAAGGAACCGATCCCTAGCCTCTCGCCTATAAAGCGTCACGCTTACCACTACACCAAGCCGCCGTTGAGAACAGAGGAACATCCATGTACTTTAAGTTTTCTCATGTTAAGCTCCCTGAAACCACCCTCATAACTCCGTTCACAGAAACGCTCGGCAAATTTGGAAAGCAGATTTGAACTCAGCATCCAAAAACACGTCTAGCAGTGTAGGTCTCATTTCAAATGGCCACTTCGACTTGGGATCCTCCCCTGGTTAGCCTTTTTCATTACCATACATACCCACCCTAAATTGTTGTACCTATTATTTTTGATTGGTCGAAAAATTCCAGATGTCAGCCGCGTGCAGTTTTCTGCGATACTCCGCACTCCTCTTCCTGCTCTATTCGTTCACACATCACTCACTCTTCATGCGACAACAGCGGTTGACAACAGTGTCACACAAAAGAAGAATCACCTACACGCAGCAGAGTGCTCTCTAATCGTAATTTCATTCGTTCATTCATTCGTTCGTTCGTTCATCCGTTCGGTTCGTTTCTTGTGTAGAAGATTTTTAGACGTAGAAACCCATAGAGGCCGTCAATTCTTCTCTCTTCTACCTGCTGTACATGCATGCGTCGTTGTCAGTCAGTCAGATATATGACATCGTGTACATTATTTGTTTTCTTTTTCTTATTTTAATTTTTTTGTTTTTTTTTGTACTTCTAAACGCGTACTAAATCAAACTCTAGACGTTTCGTAGCATGAGTCGCCTTTTTTATATATTCTCATTTTTAAATGATTTTTATGTTTATATTATACATTTATTATTTGATACGACTAATACTTCTACAGTTATGACTACATATAATATCCTTCTTAGAAGTTATCATATAATCGAGATAATTTTTCTCTATCTTCCTAAATGTTCGTCTTCCTTGTCTTCCTCTTCAGTAATGTATGTGAGTATGTGTTATCGATTATCGTTTGGGCATGCGCGTTCACGTAATGCGTCGCGTATGTTGCACATATTCCTGACACGACAGGCCTTCGTATCCGGTGTGTTAATGTTGTTGTTGTATGACCGATTTTTGAACATTCTTCCCGAATTCTCAATTTATCACCCGCATCCACCCGCTCGCTCTTCTTGTGAGTCTTCCATCAAGGATATGTGCGGTGGTCCCTAAAGCCAGCAATCCCTTTCAACATTAAGCTAATCGATACTGTGAATTACTTACCGATTTTTTTCCGGATCGTTGTCTCCTCTATTGCACCAATCAATACTATATGTATAGTTGCGATTGTTTCCCCCTCCAATACGCGCCTGATATGAATCGCACCCCAACTATTTCCCCTTACAAAATTCATATGCACCTTGTTTCATCATACCTCCTCAGCACACCCGGTTCATCATCATCACAAGTCTCTGGTTTCTCTATCGTCTTCTACTTCTGTTCCTCTGCGTCTCTGCTCCTGCTCGAGTACCGCCGTTTACGAGTGTGCCCCGCCCAGTCCTTCGTGAATTAAGTGTATCCGGTATTGCCCATGTATAAGTATGTAGAGAGAATACGCCGAGCGGGCAACGCCTACTAATCTGACTGTCCATCATACCGCTTATAGTGCGCTACAGTAATGCAGCGGGAATCATTTCTGTGTATGTCATCTCTACCCAAGTCCGCTCATTGCTGACCTATTGTGCTGAGTGCACACATCGCACCCTCTTCCGCCTTATGTATGCCTTTGTTGTAAATGATTTAACAACAAAACCAATTCACGTTAATGCACATCGTTCTCATCGGCATACTGTAGAGGAACAGAGTGTCGTCGCGCGACGTCCAGGCGCCGCGCGCGACCCGCTCGACGGCCGTCTTTCGCCATTTTGTGCCCAGATCGAGTTGCGTCAGCGCCAGACGTCATTGCCGGCATCTTTTTGTGATTTCATTTTGAATATTTTGCGTGACGTCGCAAGCTCCGCCTTCTTGTCCTCATCTCAATAATCGCTACCGTGCTAAACGGGCGGCGCTTGTGGACAGCGTCTACGAATTTCTCGTCGTACTCCTTCATTGCTCATGCGTGTACATTGTGGCGCTTCTCCCGTCGCGTCCTATGCCGCTTTCCTTAACATGGTTCGGGGATATTGTAGCTGTTATCGGTAATAACCAACTACCGTAATAGCGTAAATCTTTCATGCTGTTCCCTCCCTGATCGTGTTAGGATTCGGTATGACGAAGCGGCGCGAGTGGTTTATTAACTGATTGTCGCAGCGCGACGCGTAGCAGAGAAGTGATGTCATTCTCCTTTCTACCCAGTGCGGGGTGTTCACACCCAGTAATCGTTATATGTACGTCTTGAATTAATAAATCATTATTGTGTCATTTTGATTCCACACGCATTCTAAATTGAAAGTACCGAAACAGGAAGTAAACAGTGGCCCCGTATATACAAGTGTAGATTAGCTACTCAGTGCTGTAGACTTTGTGTAATCTTCGTGAACGGGGGGGGGGGGAATAAGGAAATAAATAACAGAAGAGTAAGGAGCAGGGCTTCTATGATCTTAAGGTGGTGGATGCGAAAAATATGGGTTGGTATGAACTCCGAAGTAACAATGAAGTATTCGGCTTTATTTAGTTTAAGGAGGCGAAGATTTTCAATATATTTTGAGAGGTGGAGATAGGAGATTCTGGAGGAGAACTCTGTTGCGAGGGTTTGCTCAAGCAGGGAATCGGGAGGCGTACGCTAATGATTGCCATTATTGCAAAAAGGGCTCGATTTCAATGGTTCGTTTCCGATAACTGTGAAAGTGTTGTCCCAAAATAAAAAGACTCATGACAGCTTGACTTCGCCATTGTAATTACACTTCGCTTCCTATAAGTAGTAGCTCGGACATAGTGCTACATAGTTTTAACATATTTATTCAAAATCATATTGATTAAACACGAGAAAGAAAGAAAATCGCGTTTTTTTGTGATTTTTCAAAAATTAGGTTGGATATTGTTGCTAAAAGCCTACCACAATTATATATGCAGTACGATACCTGGCGGTGGAAGGTCCCACCAATATGTGGGCATGGGTGAAGGTAAAAATCTCTGCAGCATTAACAAAACACAACATAAAAGCAACTTGTATAGTGACTAGGTAATTTCTCTCAGGAAAAAATAACGAAGACTGATTGATTAACTGATTCAGTGATCGAAAATCGGTTCAAAGAAAAACAGCTTATCACCAGAGATGGTATTTATCGAGCAGAGGGCATTGAAAAGCCTGTTGAAGAAGGCTTTCTTGAGCTTTTTCGTTTGCCTAAGAAGGATCCGATGAGAAATGAGCTGAGCCTTGAAATTCCTTGCTCAAGGGTATCGCATCAGATTAGCACCCTCGTGAGAGTCCAGCGATTTGAGTCCGAAATTGTTCGGCCGCTGGAACTGGAGCAGATCGTCTACCACCGTTCGAGCTGAAAATAGTCAACTGTAGGAATTTAATAGCAGTCTTGAGAAACACATATCATCTCCCAAATATTCCATCAGCTGCTTGGCCCTATTGAACTAACTTTTCATAGCTAGAACACCAAAAGTAACATTCAGAAAACGATTTGATTTTTGGAGTTATTCCACATTCCCGTCAATCTCTTCATCTTATTCCTAGAATCTCAATCTCGTCGAGCAGTACTTCGCTCAAACCCTACACTCAAGGATTTCGAAGTTAGCTCGAACAAATGCTTTAGAACGAGTTCGAAAGTGAGTTCTAGAGAAAAAAAAGAGCACATAGATGCGGATCACCTCCAGAACTGTAATCATGAAAAACGATACCCTCTGGTCAAATTCTTACCTTCCGATTCGCTAAGGAATATTACCGTTCGAATCACCGCCTCCACGATAACGGTAAGAAATCGCATATTCGGATCCGTCAACATGAACAGGCTATCACAGTACGGGCAGTACTGACGGACACCACGAAACTTCACTGCAAATAGGAATGTACCACAACACATCTTTAGATTTCCTTGAGCTCGAAGAAATAGGCACCAAGTACTATCTGCAAACCAGTACTACCAACTACCTCGACACCCTAGAGTTGATTAGTTTGCGCAGAGGCCTCGAAACTGCCATGGAAATACTGGGCACTTCTCATAAAATTCGTAAAAATAGTAGTTCAATATCTGACATACATGTATCGGAGATATGAATTGTGGGTAAATTGAGGTTTGAGTTTGAGTGGAAGTAGAATGAAGAATGGTCGGCAAATAAGTACGAATGCATCCTGAACAAGAGGGATTATTCTCAAAGTTTGACTGCGGAACTGGACTAATTTATGGGCAAAGTCGCACATTGGAAGGTTGGATGTTATCACGCACTCTGTTTTAGGGTTGATAATCCAAAAGTGAACTGTTGAATCGAAATTTTCTGGGACATACCCATTGAATGGGCCTTCTTTGTAGAACACATCTACAGTTAGAGATATTTATGAAAAGTATACCGTTGGACGTCATCAACTGACGTTAATGTGTGCATTGGAAGACGAAGCAACAAAAGCCACGGTTGAAATGACCAATCCTGAGTAAGCTTCGCTGTCGATAGGTAGAATGCGTCGAAGAATCTGAGGTATTGTTATTCGTTGTTGGTGTGTTGTTTACTGCAATTCAAGTACAGTCAGTCACTCTTACATTTGTAGAGCATCGTCGTCTTTTCGTTCACGTCCAGTCACCTGAATGTAGTCACCCATGTGTTGGTGTTCATGCAGCTCCCGAGCTGCTGTGGGAAACATCTGAACTACTGCCTCGGAGTAGTAATTTCCAACGTTCAGGTGGGTTACTGTTTGTTTGTTTGTTTACTTGTTATCGGTAGAGAACTTACAAAAGTACCCTCAACCACTGTAAGGTTTAGGTATTTATTCATCATTTTTAGGTGGCGCTCATCGCATCATATAGAGCTACTTGTTTATTTATAGATTTATTGATTATTTATGTTTATTTTCGTTAGAATACCCGGTGAAAATGTAGCCAAATACGTATTTTGATGTCAGATGCTAATATAAAAATGTTTCTAACACATTTATTTATTTACTTATTTTTCACTTCTTCATTATACATATGTCAGCGGCGATTGACAGTCCTATCTTGAATCTATTTATTTTATTGATATCTATTGGTTTACTTGTTATTTACCTGAGGTTTATCACCTGTGGCGGAGTCTAAAAATATTTCCATTCGGTATAAATGCAACATTTATTTGTTTATCATTTTTATGGTATTATTTTTACTATTACTATGGTACTATTATGGTTATCAACAGTGATAGTCAAGTGACTATTTATTTTCCAACGTGGTTATTTATTTCTTCGTTCATTATTTTGTGTTTCATCAGTAGCGAAATTCTAAAAATAGTTTGAAGAATGATCCGCATCAGATCAGAGAGAGCAGGTTGTTTAATTTCTCACCTCTTCGAATCCCTTTGGAACACCCTGCGACGTGGGAAAGGCGTCAAAATGAAGCAAGCCGTCCAGAATTAGTACACCAGCTACAGTAGTGTTTGTGTGCGCGAGATATGGTAGCAGAACCTCTTCGACGAATGCGTGACTTCCAGCAAAATCATTAAATATAGCAGATAATTTTCTTCGTAATACGACCTCTACTGCCTGAGTAGTTTCATAGGTACCAGTCGCTGTCGTACCTGGTGTTTCATATCGAAAAAGGCGTAAATAATGGTGTTGAGACGGCCATAGACTTTATCGAATGTCGCCAGAGTTCGTGCTGTTTCCAGTACGGCTGCAACGCCGGAGCCATTGTCATCGACTCCTATAATAAATACAGATTAGCTCTTTCTCGAGCTCATTCTGGTATTTGGAGGTGGCTTTTAGGTTAAACCTGGGCTGTAAAAGACACTTTCGAATGAGTCACCTGGGACGTCTTTTTCAGTATCATAATTGGCAGCCACAATGACCAGCTTGTCTTTGGGAGTATTATAATGGGGCCCGCGTTGAATACTCAGCAAGTTTACGCCGAACTCCTCCTGAAAAGAGCTCAGAAGAGCCTATTTGAATTAGCATTTCTCATTGTTTATATTATCATTCACTCAAGAACGAAAAAAGCTCAAGAAGTCAAATAATGAGTAGGGATTGCCAATTAACTTATTAATTAATGGATCTTGAAAATGTTCCAGAAGATCCTTCTAGCATGTGTCTCCTGACCCACCGCGTTCTCTGAACTGAAGGTGTGGCTGATGACATGCAGACCGAGCTCTTCGAGTGTTAGCCTCAGTATCGCTCTTGTTTGCGACTTTTCCGATGCGGTGAATCTGAAGAAAGTTGTTCAAGGGTTGCAAGGAAGGCGGTAGCTCTGTAGAAAAAAGAAGTCAGCTAGCGACCACCCATTCGGTCCTAAACTTGAACAGTGGCCAGGATAATCGTCGTGACTTGAGAAACTCGCTTAAACCTTTTAGAAAAGGGATTTGAGGCAAGGGCTTGGAAACCGCCGTTTGTGGGACTGTACGAGCCGGGGTAGGATCAGTTGAAGCTCTCGATAGCCGTTTTTCTGTTGGCTTTCACACAGCTTTCTTCGAGGACTGATGTAAGGAGTGGGTTAAAAGGAGGAAGGAATCCTTGGGGCTGGCATTCAATATCATGGAGTTCGGTCTGCAGTGGAAAGAACTTTTGAGGCAGCTCAACAATTTTTAGCAAAAAATTTTGAGTACTGACAAAAAATTCCATTGTTCGAACTAATCAACTTGTTCTCCCACAAGAACCTAAACTATTTGATTGTAAGCTACCACTTCCCTCCCTCTTATTTCTACGTGAGAATGCAGGAGCGCTCTCAGCATACTTCAGCGACTTGCCATCCGTATGGCTGGCTAATTTAATAAATCTCTAGAAGTGGTGTAGACTAGTGCCATACATGGTGTAGGTGTGGACCCTACCATGCTCAGCGGTATTCGAGTTATGTGGAGGGAAAGTTGCCAATGGTAGGATGGGAAAAACAAAACGGTTTCGAACGATCATGACAAGCTTCCCGATAAATCTCTATTGATGAGCCTCTTTGAAACTGTATCCCTTGGAAAAGAGTAAGTCGGAAGAGAGGGAGAGACAGGGAAAATGGCAGGCAGCTTAAGTAATCGTAAAAGGAACCACACTCCATAGACTATTGATTTGTGAATAAAGCACAAGTACTTAATAAGTATCGATAAATGTCGTTCACCGAGGTATTGATAAGAATCGTGAGAGATCGTCGTGCAGCCGGTCGATGCTAGCGATTTGAGCCCAGATTCCCAGAAATCGCCATATCAACACGGTTCGGATAAGCATCTGAACGAGGGGTTACCTATTAATAAAACTGAAATCGACGATTGCTATCGAAGATAAGAAAGATAGTGTTTACATGGTGAAAAACGAAGTCAGTGTTTGTCAGGAACCTTGTCTATGCAGCTGTTTTTCAGGGATCGTGGATTTGTTCTGGTTATTATTTGGTCTGATATAGGTGTTATAGCCAAGAGTATTGGAGAGAAGTTATATGGATCTCATTTCAAACGAATTAATGACCTTGTAGAATTCCTTGGCGTGATTGGCTTGAAACTGCCTTTCCTCATTTTCACGGTGTCAGTACGTGTTTCTATATGGACGGTTCGAAGCTACGGTTAGCTCAATTGTGGCTGCAGGGGTGCTTTGAACTAAATTAAGCTCCTTACCTCTCAATCAGGGGTTAGTTCTACATAACCATTACAAGAGCACCAATATTACTGAGGCGTCATGAGTGTAATGAAGTAGAAGTTTATTCAACCACAGGACTATCACGAGCCAAGGTAGTGTACCTGGATTGGATTCAGGTCTGCTGTACAGCTATTCCTCTAGGCCCTGTCAATCCAATACCTCAGCGTGCTTCAGCGGGCCCATGCCTACTACACAATGAGAAAGAATAAGGTCGAAGACTAGGAAGATTCGAAATGAGATTCATCCCTCAATTAAGTTTGATATTGCCTGGGAGTATGACGACCAATTGAGTAGGCAGCTTTATTTTAAAAAAATCGGAAAAAACGTTGAGTTGGGAAGAAGGTTACGACAAAGTTCGAGCATTACAAAAAACTCGGAAAAAACAAGAATAAAAGCTTCCTGATAGAACTGAAGAAGGGGAAAAGGGGTAACGGGGTGTTTTATTGGGTACAAAGCACCGATTTGTGGCTATGAATGTCTGTCCATTGGTGCCGCCAAGTCGGACATCAAACATCGCTCTGGAAAATGACAGTTCAAAAGCGTTGTTCGGCGACGGACTGTTTGCAGTGCGTTGTTCGCACCAATTAGGAAAACAGCAAACATCAAAAAAACTTTTGGATCGTCCTCGAGGGAATGGTTGGATTTTGCTGGAGAGCAGCTCTTTGAGGGGCTCTGTTCTAATCTCAAGTCCAGTGAATGAGCCATGTTCAATGATCAGTCGAACCGATCTTTATCTCATTTCTTTGCCTTGTTTACTGCTTACTTATTTGGTTTAAGCATCTGGTTTATTTTATTCAATTGCGAAAATATTCTGGGTAGGAGAAGTAAGATCCTGTTGATTGGCGCTGCTATCGCGCCTATGTTCCGGGATCTAATCCTGGATCGATACCCATCCAGGCCGAAAGTTCAGGTCAGTCATCCTTCATTGGTTGGTCAGCTGTTACTATATCGGTACAGTTTGGTTGGTATTGGGCCCTTAAGGGAAAGTCAAAGCTCTGTCTCGTAGATCGGCTAAACTGAACTCACTGTATTTACCAAATGCGTATTCAAACTCTCTACACTTTTAAATGGAAGTCGGAAGCGTGGGCACATCCCTGGGAGATTGTTCCACGTCAAAACCCCTAGTTATTTGCCCCTATAAATCTTATCTCAATCTTGGGCAACTATTTTCATGCTTGATTAAAACCTAGCGAGCAATTGTAATAAGTCTTATTTATAGTTGTTAGTTGCGTAGGGTGGAGATGCGGTCGAACTCGTGTCGTCTGAACGGTGAGTTCGTCTATTCTGTGTTCGCACGCTTTTCGCTAGCTAATTATATCATCCTACAACACCCCCCCCCCCCCCCCCCCCCCCCCCNCCCCCCCCCCCCCCCCCCCCATCAATTGTTGTGTTGCTGATCGTTGTTTATGTTTACCTTTTCAACGCTGTGTTACATTGCGTATATTATATATAAATAAATAAAGTACAATACTGAACAGCCTTTGCGATATTCGCATCTACAGGAACCGGACCATTCACCCGCTTTCATTGAATGGTATACCCACTGGCCATTCTGGAGGCCTGCTCGTATCCGTTGACAAATGGCCCGTGAATTGAGGGAGATCGCACCGATAAAAATGGTACGAGGGTACGGGAGGCTTTTCTCGACCACGAACAGATATCTACTTCACTTTACATCATTTTTTCGGAAAAGCGGGTAAAGGTGAACCAGGGTCTCATAGTTCCTTAACTCTAAAATGCAACATAGTCCAAGCAAAGGGAAGGTGTAAAGGTGCAATAGTTCCCTCGGATTTCGGTAATACCAATCTTGCACAAGGAACCGCTTGAAGTCGAGAAGCGCTGCAACCTCGTTTCTGTCCCACCTCCTTAGTTTTTCAGGTGAGTTGGACGGAGCTCGGTTTCAGAAAATGCGAGAAATATATAGGGAGACTACACGAAAGATTTTAAAGAACATTCCCAACGGAAGACATTTTGTAGCGGAACTCGTCATCGTCCCGCAGTTCCTATGGTTGATGACATTACTAACGACAATATCGTTATGTCTAAGAAAGAAAGGACACCCATTGGTAATCGATTTCGCTGACTTTCAATGGCATGAGAATGTCTTCAAATCCATGTTTGGGAAGACATTCTTATGCCTCTGCTTTACCGCAGTCAACCGCCCTTCATGTCCAAACGGATGCATGTAGGGTGTTATCATTTTCTTATATCACTAGCTTCCAACTCGAAACATACGACTATCAGGGGATGCATCCGACGCTGGCCTTGGTTGGGTTCCGCCCGAACCTGCCATACTGTTTACGTATTTGAGCGGCGCGTGGGGTTCCTTCTCCCAAGCTTAGCAACTAGGAAAATTCGTGCACATACCGCAAGCAGCAGCTCTAGTGGATCCTATGGCATACCCCGGTCTATGCTCGTCATTTCTCCGCTCACCCTTTGGTACGTAAGGGAGCCCAATTCGGTGTCAGTGGCTCTCAGTAAGTTGCCGTGGCGCGCAGCATGTCTCTCGAATCTTCCGACCATTGCCCATACTCGCCTACTCCTCGTGTGCCAACCTGAAAAACTTGGGAAAAAGCTCTATTGGGCTACAAGAGTCTCATGGTTTTTCCTCACCTTGATTTCTACTCGGCAGGCGCGCGTCAGTGGGGTTGCCCCATAGGCGGTTTTTCTAGTGGGTCATTGATTTACTTGAAATCCGTCCACATACATGCAAGTATCAATTCCAAATTTCCGAACACCACCACCGCCATTATGCTAACGCAGGGACTGTCAATACTATTTCATTGTTTCAGTCAGAAGGGCAAGGAAGGTCAAAAAAGGATAAGAAGTTGGAAGAACAGCATGAAGACGGTAAAGGATCGTCAGGATCCTCACAAGCCAAGAGTCCGGCTTCATTATCAAAATCGAAGTCGACCACAAAAATCAGAGATACGCTGAAAAAAGCATTGTCTGACAAGGACCTCGAGAAAAAAACAAAGCAGACCAAAGAAAGCCGTCCAACAGCCGCTGCGGCCAAAGATAAGAGGTCGAGTGCTTGATTTATCTGTCTTCTACGCACCTATCTCCTACAATAGTGCTACTAAAAGGGGAGGTAAAAGGAACGTGGTAGAAGAGACCCTCTCGCTCCCACAATCTCGGCGCTCAGGGCATAGTGGAAGCCCCGTTGCTGCCGCAGTTCGCTTTCCCGCCCCTCGATCGGTGTCACGTTAGACGAACGTCGAGACAATACAGATTGCTATTATGTTCTAGGACCCACGCACAATCAGCTAATCGCCAAGTGATGAGGCGATATTTTTCTCCTAGTCTTTTTTTCCTCTGTTTTTCTTTTTGCTGCCGCGATCCCTTACTTAATTTCCTACTCCTATACGCTGAAAAAGGTGAGCTCCTTTTGCTGTTACTAGGGTTTTTTTTGTTTATTTATGCTTATAAGTGAATGAATTTTTGCTCACCATTGTCTGTTATTCGCACCAGGACCCACACGCGCGCAGTGAAACACACTGTTTAGCTCCTCCGACGCCCCCCTCCCTTCTTCATTTCTCTGGTTTCATTCTCGTCCAGCCCCCTTTTTAACGGTTTTTCGAAGCCTTTTTTCACTTTGGAAACACCGATGCACGCAGTTTCTTCAACTCAGTTGCACTAGTTTCGATCTTGTCTTCCATTTTTCATCATAATCTGGATTACCCAAAATTATCATGAACTGTGCCTTCAAGCGTATGGGGTCGGGAAGGATAGAAGGTGTGTTACTTACACTCTCTGTTGACAAGCGTTCTCTTTAGAAGATGCTTAAGATTTCTTGTGGTCGGACCTCTACTGCACAGCGACCTCAGTTGAGGCTACTTTCCGCAAACACTGAAAGTCAATGCATGGCTGTGTCTTGACTTTGCTCCACAAAGACTCTGTCTTGACTTTTTTCTGTTCATGTGATACTTGTGCTGAACTGAAAGTGTCCAATTTGGCTATACGAATACGGTACCGTTTCAGTAAGCAACCTCCAGGTGCATCGCCAGAAAGCACTCCGAACAATAAACCAGCTGAGGCCAAGAAACCTCCACCACCGCCACCACAACCACCACCTCCCGAAGTATGAGTGGTTTCATTGTCTCAGTTGGGTTACTGTAAGTGAAAGCTATTTTAGCCTGATTCGAATGATTTCATGGCAAAAGCGGCCGCAGCACAGACTATTGTCGATCCGGCTCTCGTGCAGAAAAAAGGCAACATCGATGACGAAATTGCCGTAGGTGTTTTAAAACGAAACTACTGATCAATACAGGCCGGAAATGGGAAAAAGGAGGGTTCTTTGCGGATCCCAGTGAGGGTGTGACCTATGTCGGACCAGTATAGGGTCGGGAATGGGAACTCGGGATCCCGTCTGAGTTTGAGCTTTTGTCCATAACTCGCCAACTTTGTGAGATTTTCGTATCGCCTGCCGCGGCGATATAACAGCTGGTGAAATTCATCATTTCAAACCGTATTTGTTTGGCTGGAGCCTCTCTAAGAATGGACAGCCCTCCCTTCCCAGTCCTAGGATTTTGCCTTCGTCAGAGCGTAGAGAACGAAGCGCAACCGGAACCTTATATCTCCGTCCGAGACTAGCGTTTTGCCCATGACTCGACATTCTTGAAAACTTAATGTGACCAACCAAGGCTAATCAGTCATGAAGAAAGTTTATTGGAACCATCTGATGTCGATGGGTTCTTCACGCTTTAGACAAATCAGGCTAATCGAAACTACTCTAGCAATAACGAGCATGGACCGAACTGCACTTCAGTAGGGACGTCCTCCCGCTCAGAATGTCTCTTCCCAAGCTGCTCTTAACGCTTTTCCCAAGTTCTCTCAACTATTCCCTAGTCTGGCCCATTGTAATCCAATTCTTGCAAGATATAAACATTATCGATTCCGTCTTTTCCGTCTTGCAAATGGCATGACTACATCGTCCCTACCTTGAGCTTGAGTTATCTTCTCTGCACCCACCTAGGCCAGAAGCATAAGTTTCTAAGCAACTCCATCGATGTTGAAAAACAGAACATCTTCCCAATAAACAGGAATTTTTTATGTTCATTCTGCATAAAATCGATTTGACGAATCAATGCTGTCAAGGACCCGGTCAAGCTGAAAGCGCGCCTGAAAGCAATGGATGATGACATGAAAACGGTGAATTCTCTTGAAGAGGAGAAAAAAGAAGTTCCAAAAGGTGCCGCCCCCCAACAGGCGAGTAAGATGCTTGCTTGCGTGTTGACAAGCAGGTATCATTACCAGTAACAATTTAGGTGAAGTGGGGTGATGCGAAGTGTGTCGTTTACGAGATCAGAGATCAAGCAACTCTGGAGGACGACCTCGACGACGCTGCAGATCTGTATTGATCGTCCTTTGGTTTCGAATACTCCTTAACCGACCATGATTGATCTTTTTTTTATAACTTTATGCTAGCATCATTTCGTGATTGTATCTATAATCAGTCAAATTTCCAATTTATTGACGATAAACTTATTTAATTACATGGACTGCAATTTTTTTCCTGTTTTTGTCGGTGCTCATGCCTATTCCGTCGAATACTTTTGCTTAACTTAATAATGGTAGATTAAATTATCCCTCAAGCCGGTTCTGTCATTTAGTAGCAACATTTAGTGTTGATTTCTTGGCTCTTATTTATTTTTATTTATTTATTTATTGAAGTAAGCTCAAGGATGCTATCTTGCCGTCTTATACGATTAGAGCCGAGGACGAAATTGAAAGAATAAAACTCATTCATTCAAAAGGCGAGTTTTCTTGCGGTTCCCAAAGATTTAGTGGAATCAACTGCACCAATGATTATTTTTCTCTTTGCTCTGCATGTTTTACATTTTTACTGTTTGGTTCTAAAGGTTCATCTAAAGTAGGTGCGGTAACTGATAATTACTGCACTCTACGACTGCGAGGGCTAGGGCCCAGACTAGGGTGGGATGCCGACCTAGCGCATGTGTAGTGGTGCTCAATAACAATCTTTACTCAGAGGAACTGTTTTTCCGAAGTCTAAAGCACCGGATCATCTGATAGCAGCGCGGACAAAACGCGACGCGGAAGCGCGCGCTCTCCAGCTTCCCCCCCTCCCCCTATTCCCATCTCCTTCCCCTCTCCCTCCTCAACCCCTCAACCCCTCAATCCGGGTACACATTGTCCAGTAAAGTTTAGAGTGCAAGTACTCTCGTATAAAACGTAACTGCCAAACATACGACTACATCGCTTAACTAGCTTTCGCTGCAGGACCTCAGCCGCCCGCTTTGCTCTTCTCTTAATCATTTACATTCTTTTTTCTACTCCTCTCTCACGGACGTTGCCAAGTAACTTGAATCCATCTCCAAAAAACATGAACTTTAATGGCGCTGGAGCGCCTTCCCCAGCTTATCATCTCTACTGAAGAGCTCCAGCACAACTGAATACTGCTCTAAAACACAGCAAAATTTATCAACGATGTATTGATAATGTTCACGATTACGTCTACTTTCGTGCGACTCTTCGTCTTCTTCTCTGGGAACGATCAGAGGATGATCTGAAGGCATTACAGCGAATTCGAGAAAACCATCATGATTAGTGAAGTTTGTTTGGGTTTTTTAGCATTCTTACATCTAGAAAGACTTTCATGTTTGCTTCTTCTAGACTGTTGGTTTTTGTTGTCTTAATGAGTGTCCAGTGCTTGGTTGCCGGCTAGGTTTTTCATTGTGGAACATTCCATCTGGCAGTCTGACAAGTTTATGGTTCCCAAACTACTGCAAGCGTTCCAGAAACAAATGACAACAATGAAGACCCAAACTAAACTGCTAATATCGCACCTATCGCACCTATATCGTTGGTTTAACAGCCGTGAGTAGATATCTTTTGAATTCCCACGCTGTTCGAATTCCTTTGAATCAGTTGCAACTGGCTAAGAGCTGCCCAGCGTTAGGTAACATTCCAGAAAGCTCCGAAACGTTTTCAGACTTTTGAAGGCGACGGTCTGGTCAAGGGTTTGGTGTATTTAATGTTCCTTCATTGAAAAAGCTGTACGGCACGGAGGCATTGAATGCTTGTAGGTTAATCAGAAGATTCGGAAGGATTTGGGGGTGTAACTGTGAATCCTCAAAATTAATATTAATCACTAGGAGGTTGACTGAATCCCTCGGAATGTCAGAACAGGACGGCCGCCATTGGCTGCTTTCATAGTCCACGATCAGTCGCGCGACTGGTCGCGCGATCTGCTCGGGACCGTCCACGGCACCCATAGCTAGCGCGGCCTCCGCGACCGATCGAGCGACCAGTGGCGCGATCAGTCGAGCGACCAGTCGAGCAGACTGGTCGTGGACTATGAAAGATGCCATTGCGATGGTCAGACTTCTTAACGAAAGTCTGAATGAAAGAAATGTTTCGCCCCATGTCCCTCGAGCGAGGAGGATTCACTGGACTACGCTGGCTCGCAACATGGACGTATGCATACTGGCACCCGTTCGAGGAAATCGATTATTAACGGCACGACAGGTAACAGCCGGTAGCTGAATAGATTATGTTCATGTGTAGACTAATTTGTCCAGCTGAATTGTTTCAATTATTGATTTTGTTGTGATAAAATCGATTTCTCTGCTCTTTATCAGAGAAAATCGAATTGACCAACTTCAAAGAATTTTACTTACGTTGAAGCCCTGTCACTGCTGGGATCATCCCCTACGCTTTTCGTTTCCCTTCTTTTTGATGATGATCTTCGTTTTCTACTTCGAGAGGACCTGCTTTCGCCACTCTTGACGTCCCCTCTGCTCCTTCGTTTCCCAGAACGAGAACTGGAGTCGCTTCTAGTTCTTCTGGAGCTCTTTCGGGACTTTCTAGACGTTTTATCGCTGTCCGAGCTGAAATCATAAATCGCATGTGATCGATCTGATAAAATCGTGGACTTCCACCTACTCAGGTTTCGAGAATGCCTTTTTCACTTTGCCTTTGAAATCTTTCTTGCGTCGTTGTCTATCTCTCGTTGAGGATTTTCTACTGCGTCTACGACTCTGGAAATCGACAGATATGAGCGCACTATGCCAGGACAGGTGTGAATTCAGAAACGGACTCGTCTGCTTCTCGATTTTTGCTGCTTTTCTTCCTGCCTTTCGAGTTCTAAATAGATTTTGTTCGATTGACATTTGTCGGTAGGGGGAGAATGCGAATAACTATGTCTACTGAGAATGTGGCGCAAACCGACCCTCAAGATTCTTTTATGGACTCACTCTTTTCGCTCCACTTTATGCCTTCCCTAGGTCGACTGAGTGGTAGCGACGTCTCTTTGGGCCGATTTTCCGGGTCCGGAATGCCACAGCGACATAGGTGGCGGTTGATATGAATGGCTTCCAGACATACTCGCATACTGTGACGTGATTCCATCGATATTTGAGCAAAACGGGCCACCTGAAGCGATGGCTTCAAAACTTGACATCCCTCAAGACTGAAATGTGGGGCTTACTGATTCCGGCATTTGCAGGGTAGCGATGCGTTCAACAATCAGTTGACGGTCTACTTTACTGAGATAAGCAGAACGAATCTGGATTAAGTTCAAATCTTCGCGAGGACCAACTCGATCCACCTTACCTGTAAGGGTAACTTACCACTGCGAACACACCCGGAGCATAGACAGCCGGATGTGGCTGCCCAACGAGCCACAGCAATGCCGCGTCGGCCGCGACCAACTCGTGTGGCACCCGAAGTTCACAACTGAAATCTTAGACGGGTCAAAAGAAGAAATTCAGATTGTTAGAAGAAATGCCATTCCGCTTGTAACTGGGTGTCCTATATCGTTAAGTGTCTAGTGCAGTGAAACCCAGCCAGACTTTCATCTACTCAGAAGCCATAGATCGCTATTTGCAGGGCAGTCAAGGGTCGCATTCTTCAGCCTCTGGACCCCTCACCCTTCAACCAATGAACTCGACAATCTTCACTGTTGCAGCTTCGAGTCTGGTGAACCGTTCCTCGAAGTGAAACTCGAATAAGCGTGACAGTTCTTTATAGTCAAGAGTAACAAGTAACGAATACCCCGTAACTTTTACTAATGTATACGTAGTTAAGGAGACCCACCTAGCAAGTAACATCACGAATTGGTGATATGGAATGCGCTGATAGTCTGGCAGTGCTGCCATTTCGACGAAACTCCATGCTGCTAGATAGTGTAGCGCGTTCTCAGTCTGAATATGTTTTCTGTGAGGGATAACTTTGCCAATCTTTCTAAAATTCTATTCTCGTTTGCCTCTTTTGTGATGTTCGAAGTGCCGGCCACCAGTACAGCCTGGATCAGGTGGTCCGTTGACATCTCAGCAGTCAGAATAAGTGTCTGAAAAGAAAACGGGGGCTGAGAGATGTCATGCAGCCAGGATTTGAAGAATTGAAGTTTTTTTGTGCTGCGGTGTCAGGACTGTCAAGGGTGTGAAGTGAAAGATATGGGAGATGTGGTGGCCGTTATGGTGAAAAGAAGCGATGAAGGTGCGACCTTATGCATGCAGTGCAAAAGGCAGAATCGATCCCACCATGAACACCTTGAAGTTCTACTACTGGATGTCGACGACGTATTTACTTAAGCGAATGGAGGGCGCAAACGGATTGAGAACTCCTTACCGGTCGTGCTTGAGCTTGTGGAAAGAGAGTTTATAGGCCGGTATGGGTGCAGGGCTCATATCGAAAGAGAAATCTTTTTACAGCTACTTTTAGCCGTGAGCCATGTGCAATGCGCAATAGGTTTCAGTTCGATCCTCATCTCCACGTCCACGCGGGTGTATGTCCTTGAAGATCCGCTCATCGCTGCAATAGCTAGTTGCCCCGACGCGCGTTATCCTCTTAAGTTGTCTCGCCGCATGTGTAACATTTGTCCTATCTTTTACATGACCAGATCTTCACTCTTATATATGTTCCTGAGAACATTCAATAATGCATGAAGTGTCTCGTCCCCTACTCTTCTACTCAGATTGGTCGTACTGGAGAGTTACCGTCCTGCCAATGGCCTTACCTCCTCCAAATGTCTTTGTAAATCATCCATTACAAACGTCTTGGTGAGTTTGAGCAGTTCCGCTAAGGCGTAAAATGAGATGCGGGCCTGTAAAGCTTCCGTCGACCGACTGCCTATATATTTTGTGTTATTCCAGCCAATCAATACTCACCTTCACCGTTCCTTTTTCAATATAATCAGCAAAGATCGTAATTGTTGTATCATAGTAATCGGTAAGATCAATAGATCGAGGCACTCGTCCAGTCACTTGGTGCTGAGAATCAACGTTTTCTATTTCTGTAAACTCGTCCACGTACATAAATGCGAAGCAGCTCGTCTAACCTGTTTGATTAATTGCGAAACCGCCACAAAATCGACAATTTTCACATACCGATGCCCTTTTTTGTAGATAAGCTTGATGGTGTTCTATAATACTCTGCGTTTAAAATGTCGACTAGCTCATTTGAGTTTGCGAGCGCGACGCAACGTAGCGCACATTTCTTTCGTTGAAGGTGACTTTCTGAATCCGGCTTGTTAGCCGATCCCTTGCCCATTTAACGCTCTTAACGATGATTTTCACGGCCTTTCAATGGCTGCTGTCATAAGGATTCTGTAGAGAGCCACTCATAGACCATACATTTAGTATAGCGGTTAGGCACTCTGAGTCATCGATGTTGAAACGGCTCATATGGCCCTTTCCTTTGTGATTGAGTTAGTGATTCATGCTGCCGTAATAAGGAAAAGCTAGCTTTTCGTGATCATTCAAGGTGTAGAGTGATGATAAGGGGAACGATCACCTCCCGGGTGGTCTATCAGTAGAATAATCGATTAGCCAACGTTCTATCTTTGAAAGACCGGTCAAGTGCCGTCATATTAATCTGCAAGGATGAAAACAGAGAGTTTAGACCGGTCCACACCACCAAAATAATCGTTTGGGAGTGGGTAAGGTCGTTTGTTTGGGAAAGCTTCATACAATATGCACCTTGATTTGTCGAACCTAAGTAAAGGAAAGTAAATGAGCATCCTTACCTTGGGGAAACTTCAAAATCCTATAGAGATCAGGAGAGTTAGGGTATATGAACTCGGATCTAGAGATCAGGAGGGTAGGGTATATGAGCTTTGACGTATGCTCGTAGAAATTTCACTGACCCGATTCCTACGAGACTCTGACTGGGAACGTGAGCTTCGCCTGCTTCGACGTCCTTCGCTCTTGCTTCTTCTACGCGATTGCGATCTATCCGATGAATCGCTTTCTGCAAAATGGTGATGGAATAGAATGGACGGTAGTGGTTGATTGTTGGTAAATTTCGTCGTGGTGTGGTGGCATCGTAGATTCTCATCAGGATCAATCGTAGCCGGAGAGACCGACCCCCATACTCACATCCACGTAGAGCACTTAATAGAGGAATCACTCCCCTTCCCCCACGCACTTATGAAGATTCCTTCATCAGGTGGGAAAGACGACACCTATAGCTTTCAACCTCTCGGTTTTTCGCAGAACATTGCCTCCGCTCATGAAAGCGAGTTTGAACTCTGTCTGAAATAGGTAACAGAGCAACTGACTTCCTCGTCTCCTTTCGCTTCCTTCACTTTTCGATTTCTTATCGTACTTAACTGATCTGAAAAACTTCAATGTCATTTCTCTCATGAAAGCCATAAGGTTATTAGACCTGTTAGGCATATGTCAGCACGACAACTGCAGGATTACTGAGAAAATGAGGCTCACCCCATGATTATCTCGTTGCTAAACTTATTTGCTTTAGAATTGTAAACATTACGGTAGCGATTAGGGTGATAATCTGTTTTAAAGCCTGCGTGAAAGCGTTGGTTAACATATAAACAATTTCTTGAAATGCTGTGATTCTTTGTATTTTCATTCTTTCAAAGAGTTCTTTGACATGGATTAATCTCGTTGATGGAATGCGCCCCCACTTTCGACTCCCATTCAACATCGTGACTGCGTTTGAATGCGTATGCAGCCTATACAACGAATTGCGCTGGCCAGTTTATGTCTATGTCAGTGCTTGCATCCTCGCAAACGAATCTGGTACCAATTAAGCGCCTCAGGAGGGATTGAAGGCTTGATTGACCTGGGCAAGTATCGATCCGGGCTTCTACCTCCGTACCACTCGTTTTTGATAATGCAGCAATCTCATTAAACCACCTCTGCGATTTTGTTTTACTGGAATGAAAAAAATAAATTGTACTGGAAAGCGCGTGTCTAAAAATTTATTATTTATTCAAAATATTGAAATTGCGATTACTATTGATTACGACTTTAAAAAGCCGCTTGAGAAAGAAGTGCCCGTCTTGTCATCTCATCAGCTGCTAAGTTTCGTGTGTTTACCGATCTCCAGTGAGCGAGTACAACCTCGGACGTCAACTAAACCTCATATGAAATGCAATGTGTATGTTTCAGCACACGTTTTTGTTTTGTTTCTCTCTACGGTTGGCTAGGAAACGCCTGCTGACATTGAGCATTTCCTCGCGAGCAGAGTATATTGAGCAATGGGGGTGTGGCTGACCCTGGGGAGCTTTCAGTCATCGCTATCATCCAGTTAGTTAGGTCCACGCCAATCTAGCTAGCCTCTAAAAACATGTACCTAACGATGGTAAGTTGCTACTAACTCGTCCTTTCCAGGCATATTTCATAATTCACTCTGAAGTTTATCTCGTTGCCTACTTAGGGTTGTTTGAATTTCGGTAATAAGGTATCCATGACACTTGTAAAAATCAGTCAAAACATAGTAAGCAGAAGAAGAAAGTTAGATGAAGCTCCTTTATTCTGCACTATGGTTTTGATGTCTGTTTCAAATTGCTAACGGTTTCGGAAAATCTTTGGGCTCGGATACTCGCTTACCTAGACAGTGCTCGATCAGAGGGAGTAAGTGAGAATACTGAGAGCCAATCAAGACTGGAAATAGCTGGTTTTTTCCGAATGTTTCAAAGCTCCTCGCATCAAATTTTTTATTCTCCATTAACAACTTTACCATCGTTTTTTTGGCTATTAGATTTAGAATGTCTGCGGTAGGAACTGATCTCCTGGGTAGAAACCATTGCTGTATCATCTTTGAATGTAGTCAATAATTAATCATATTACTATATACATATATATATATCTGCAGAGGTGATGTAGTGTCAGTTGGCGTATTATCGCAGACGCACGTTCGAAGACCAAAGCCAGATCGGTACTCGCTCAGGCTAACCAAGCTTCCCATATTTTGATTGGTACCAGGTTCGTCTGGGGATATGGAAGCGTGGAACGAAGTACATCGTCCAGCCATCACAAGTCACTGTATGGGCCGAGACGTATTCAAAAGAAAGACTGCGATTTTGCATGGAAATCAGATGTGGGGTGTATCCCGAGAACAGGATTGGACAACGCCGAAACCTTTAGACTTTATATCAAAGCTTTAGGAGGCAATTTTATCTATAAGATATATCGGTCCCTAGGTTGCGCAAAAGTTGAGCCTCGGTGTTTAGTGGCTCTTTGCCTCAATTCTTGATTGGAAATTTTTTCTTGTTCTCCATTGTTCTTTTCGGGTGTATTTCTAGAACTTTTGGAGAGGTCGCTTCTGACGATTTCAAGTGGAATGCTCTTGTCTTCGCTGCTACATGCCCTCCAATTCTGTTTGAAGTTGATGTAAACGGAGATGAGCTATTGACTAAATTCTCAAACGTCTTCGAAGGCACCATGGAGGTCCCTTTTAGGTTACCATGGTAGACATGCATTTTCGTCGTCGTATTGTTGTTGGTTTCGAAGAAAAACCCTCGTAGATAAAGACATTGCCGAAGCAATTGGGTAAATCAAGCAATTCCCGAAAGCTACACTACAGCTGTATTTACGATTAGTTCACCTTCTTGGATATGTCGTCAACCCGGGAAGAAGGAGACAAGAACAGTGACAAAGAACACATAGTGAACTGTCACACATAGGAGGGTCTTCTCAGTGGGCCTTAGTCGTTTCCCTGTCCATTACGACTTAGCATTGGCTCTTTTCTTTGCTGGATAGCTTGAAGACACGAAAAACAGCCAATATTCAGTCGTAATAAACATCGTGTCTAGACATTGATGAAAACATCTCCTAAACCGCTCTCGCTCCGATGCGATACGAAATGGGGGGCCAACTCACTAAAAGTTGTGACGGCTGATTTTAGGAGCCAAGGTTCATATGCGGTGAAAACCCATGGGTAGAGTAATGCCCTTGCCCTGCATTAAATGGTATCTGAATTACTTCGTTTCAGTGTAGATCTCTATAATACTCACAGTTCAGATGATAATGGAGATTACTTGGAGAATACTTGATTGATACTCCGGAGTCTTCAACCTAATTATGGGACTTAAGATTGGGAAAATCAACATGGGAAGACACCTTTGCCGGTGACGGAATTCAGCGTTATCAATAGTAACTTAATATCATGAGGATTCAGGGAGCTAACTTGGATCCGAAATTTCTCTACACGGTAAAATGCACCCTCTTTCATTTGATGAGGAGAGCCGATGAACCACCCTTCCAACTCAGGATTATCCTTGGTATAGGCATCGTGAGCTCTACAACAACTTCACGACCAGGATCTCGCCATTCTATAAAGAAGTCATCATCAACGTGAAGAGAGGGGTTCGACAGGGCGCTACCATCTCGCCCAAACTTTTCAGTGCCGCTCTCGAGAACGTCATGCGTCATATGGAATGGGAAAGCATGGGAGTGAAGGTCGATGGCCGCTACTTACATCATCTCCGCTTTGCAGATGACATCGTGCTTATAACACCCAACATCGAGCAGGCGGAACAGATGCTGGCCGAATTTGACAACGCTTGTGGAAAGATCGGCTTGAGACTGAACTTAACGAAGACGATGTTCATGCGAAACGGATTGGTACCTGATGCTCCTTTCATGCTGAACGGAACGAATATCTCTGAATGCTCCAGCTATGTGTATCTAGGTCGAGAAGTCAACATGATGAACGACCTAGCTCCGGAGCTGAGCAGACGGAAACGCGCGGCGTGGGGAGCATTTAAGAACATCGAGGGAGTAGTGAAGAAAACGAAGAACATCCGGCTCCGCGCTCACCTTTTCGACACTGCGGTACTTCCTGCTTTGACATACGCCTCAGAGACTTGGACTCTACGAAAGCAGGATGAGCATGCAGTTAGCGTCATTCAACGCGCTGTGGAAAGGACGATGCTCGGAATTTCCCTATACACGCAAGTGCAGAAGGGAATCCGGAGTTCCGAGCTCCGTCGACGAACGAAGATCAGGGATGCCGTTGATTACGCCAAGAGATCGAAGATCAGGTGGGCCGGACACGTTATGCGATATAATGATGACCGTTGGACCAGGGCGGTTACGGACTGGATCCCTCGGGACGTCAAGCGAACACCAGGACGGCCGCCAACGAGATGGTCAGACTTCTTCACGAAAGCTCTGAACGAAAGGAATGTATTGCCCCGTGTCCCTCGAGCGAGTGCGATTCACTGGACTACTCTGGCTCGCGACATGGACGAATGGAGACGTTACTGGCGCCCGCTCGAGGAAATCGACGATCAACGGGAGTACAGGTGATACAGGTGATACAGGTGATAGGCATCGGTGTATCTTTCGTACCTTTTGTTCATATTCCCTGATATTGATAGATTTGTTAAGTTCACAGTAATGGCCCTCTTCACGGCTACAGTCAGGGTAGAGAAGATGATCGATGGATGCCTTGACTCCTAGGCCTGGACGATTTTACCTGCCCTTCGGACTTATTGCTCATGTGTTTTTAGACCGAGAGGATTAGGACCCTTCCGGAACCGTCTAACGAATAGATCGACGAAAAATCAAACTTCTCAGAAAGATGTTTGAGTGATGCTAGTCTCTGCAAGTGATCATACAAAATTCGATTTTTAATAGAGGAAGGGGGAGGGAGCAAGGTCCGATAACTTCTTTCAGGCAGAGTCGTAGACAATCACTCAGTAAAGTCATTTCAGAGCAATAAGAAAGGTGGACCGAAGCCGCCTGTGATTTGCTACATTTGTGGACGGCAGTACGGATCTCACAGCATTGGTAGGTACTTCGATTACTGTCATTTTCTTCATTGAAAAAGTTCAAGAAAGAGAATTTTTGGTGAGTTTTTGGTTTCTGGAGAAAAAATCAAGCAAAAATCCAGAAAGATATCTTTTCTATAAGGATTCTGTTCCTATAATAATTCCTTGGGGTTCATGTTTTCAGAGTGGTACAAGAAGCATAGGAATGACCCTATGGGAATATTCTAAAAGTTACTTTTCTGTGGATGGGGGTGATATAGTGGCGCGCTATTACATATATATGGTTCGGAGATGGAATTCTGACTGATACACGCCCAGGCCGGTCAAGCCTTCCAACCCTCCGGAATCGGTCGTTTGTTACAACAGCTGTTTGATAGAATAAACTACCTGCTGCTTTGCACATCGGCTGGCCACAGCAAATCTAGTATAGGCCACATAAACGTTCCATACGCTATAACAGCTCCTAATAAGAATAAAATGCCAGGCTCGCCTCCAATAAAAGATCAATTAGAGCCATAAAAACTTGATTGTTGAGGACGTATTTTCTTCATACTCTTTACGTGACGTGTTCTTATTGTACTTCGTAACCTATGGCTACTCGATTACAAGCCCCTGGATGTTGTTAGGTTCTTGAGCTAGGACAGATTGTCTTTGCCAAGACGCGATAAATCGCCTCGCTCGGCTCGGTTACGCTAAGGGCGATTCGATTCTGAGAAGACAAACAATTGAGAGCTGGGGTGTAGTCAGAATTCACTGTTCTCATTTTCCCACCAAAATGCTCTATTGTATGATCCTGGAAGATTTCGCTTTCAAGTTCTAGCAGTGAGTATATCATTGACTTTGAAGGTGACCGTTATCGGTGCAGCCAGACAACAAGTTTTGATTTCCGTTCATCAGGCGAATAGGTAATTTTGCAGCCTGAGTGCTTCTAGCGTGGAGAGTAACCTTGTCAGTGAATGTTCCGATTTTCGAGTCTTAAGAGTTAAGCAGTTTTCCCATCACAAGGTGCTCGGTCTATGACAAAACTATCCAGCTTGGGAAAGGGCTTTTTTGCCTCTCTACATGTCACAGTAGCACTACCTTCCGTAGCACTAAGCTTATTATTTGAGCTTATCCCAAATGAATCGTTCTTTTTAACTCCTCTTTCCATGAACATTATCTGGCACATCTCGGCCTATCGTTTGGAGCAAAACATGAAGTGTTAGCTGGCACGAACACCTACGAACATATTAATTTATCCTGCGCTGGGTAACTATGGTGACTCCCGTAAGAAATGGGATGTAGACGAGAAGTGCTGATTAGAATTTGAGAATGACGAGTGGCTGTAGCGAAAATGCGTTGACAGTTGGAACCGTGAATGAGAACTAGGGAGCCGGGGGGATCACGTCCTCTGGGAAATAGGCCTAGGAGCCGATGGTACATATGTGCTCCATTCTACAAAACACTTCGATACTTGGAAGTTATCAGATCTTTTCTAGATTGCCTATATACCAAATTAGTGAGTGGAGTCTATCATAAAACAAATGAATAGATCCAATAGAGAGCGAATTTCTGAAATTCATACCGAACTGTTGCTTGATGAGGCGAAGCGTATACATAGCCTTGCTGTTGAAAGGTTCCGGTTGATTACTAACTTTCAGGATCTTTTGTGATTGATATTGAGGGGTTTCTCTTGAAAGTTAAGTTGTTCAATTTCTCACTTGAGTCGTGTAGGAAGAAGTATCCCTCTTAATCACTCCGAAAAAAAAAATGCTCCTCTCCTCACGTCCATAAAAACGCGTCCGTTTCGAATATTATGTTGAACATAAATCAAAGTAAGATTAATTCAGTACTGCTTGCTTTATATTCTTGTCCCTACCATACTTGCTAACTGATAAGCATGCAAAGGTTGTTTATTTTGTGGCGAAATGGGCTCTCTTCGTCAAAGGGTTGATTAGAAACTTTGTTTGGCCCTATCTCTGATCACAATATAACAATTATACGGAGTTTTAAAGTAACCATGGTGATCGGGTTAGAAAAAGCAATGCCTGTAGTTATAGAATGGAAAGAGGTTCTTAGGATAGAGAATTCGTGCGGGATGAAACAGAGGCTAAGCAACTTCTTAACAGCCCTTGATTAGTTGAAGATTTACTTGAGCATGGAAACTAGTTACATGCATAGTTATTATTGAGATGGAAGTTTTCCCGTACGCAATAGTGCTATTGAAACTGTTCGATTCTAGGAATCCACGAGCCAAAATGCTTAGAAAAATGGCATATCGAGAACAAAAAGCTACCGAAAAGTCAGCGGCGAAGCGAACCGAAAAGGCCTGAAGTGGTTATGGACGAAAGTGAGTTCTATAATTCTATGAGCTTTCATTTTATGCCACTTTTCCGATTCGAGCGAGTCCACTCTATTCATTTTTAGCCAAATAGGCTCAGAATGATTAATTTTCTGCAGTTTTTTCCAAGCAGGCGAACCCATCACATCTTTTAGTTGAGGCAATTGATTTTCGTAAAGGGACCATCTCTACTGTATACTATTACCGCTTAAGAAGTGGTAACTATTACACATGTCCCATACCCAATGAAAGATAAGTTACCATGTTCAGGTACCCTTAAGTGCTAAGAATTGCCAAAAATTTGTATAGCAGCTACTGAAGCTGTCTAACTTCCTATGAATGAACAAAGACCATGAACCTAAAGGATTCTTCAGTTTCCTCCTGTTTTTAGATCCACATTTGTTTTCAACACGTTCTTTTAACCATTAGTTATCGTTCCTTACCACACGGTACAAGTCCCCAACTGAGTAATCGAATGAAGGCAATAATAGACGCACCTTTTACACTTACCTACAATTTATGGATATGCTCCTTCCTATAACTCTCTTCATTTGAGGGCTGAATTTTACAGCGGAGGAAGTTACGATTATGCGGTGGAAGTAGACAGACAGACAGACAGACAGACAGACGGACAGACAGACAGACAGACAGACAGACAGACAGACAGACAGACAGACAGACAGACAGACAAATATAAAGAGAGGCAGAGGTATGTAGACAGACAGAAGGAAAGACAGAGGACACAAACGTACAGCAACTTACAAAATATTCATTAAAACTTCTCTGGTATTCATCTTTATGATCAGAACTTTCTTCAGATGGAGAAATCGACGTGGAAGCAACGAATGAAGTTCGCTGGGATAACGCGCAGAAACTTCTCGTTCCATGTGAAAATTGTGGTCGACGGTTTGCGGTAAGTTTATTGTGGAAGAAAATGGATTTGTGTGACTACAGCAGCTGGTCATCTCGTATAGAATATTTGCAGTATTCAAATCTACCTATTTAATATCGGACATTTCTACTGGTAGCTGCAGAAGCAATCTTTCGTTGTATCGATCTGATCCCACACCTTGCGCCACAATGCCAAGGATGTAGAGCTCAAGTTTGAGAAGGATAGGACGTCGGGAGTGGTGGGGGTTGGATATGGCGGCAGGAGAAAAGGCCGAGTTGAGTATAATAGGTCTAGCATAAACTTCGGAAAGCTGGAGAGCTTTTTAATCGGTACAGGCGGTCACTTCACTTTTTGTAGAGGGTAGAACCTTATCTTCCCCAAAAAACCCAAGCTTAGACGTGGGAGGGCTGACCTTATGGGCTCTCAGAACGTATTTTACTTGAGGGTTATCAGTACAGCGCTACCACTAGAAGCGGTCGCTTGCAAGTCAAAACAGTCCTCCACTATCTCCACTTATGATATCCCGTGGGTTGACAAGTGTCAACTAAAGCAGCGCCCCTCACACGCCATCTTTTGGATGGAAAACTCCTGATTTCCTGAGACCCCAGGCGCAAAGAAGCGATTCAAATTTGAGGGCTATAGGAAGAGCAGTGAGTTGTCGAGAAAGATAGCAATCTGTAAGGTGATCAAAAGTAATTAAGAGAGCCACCCTCTAGCTTTTCGGAGGGTTTTTCCCAATGTACGTAACGTATCCTAGTTATAATGGATGACAGGGTAGGATAAGAAAGAACGAAGTGTGGATTGGTCAACGTCTTCTAAAATTATCACATCGGGCACAAATGAGGGGGAATGTAATGTTGTGTTAGCTATTGGGCTTCCTTTAATAATTCAGCGAATCGTCAGACCCCATACCATTAAAGGGAACATTTTCCTCTGATATCCCTTTCAAAGTCAGTATTCATAAGTGTGTATGAGCAGTGAACCACTGCAGTTCCTGAGGGTGTTTCTCTCTTTACTACTAGACGACCATTTTGAACGAGAGAGATAATCATTGGTTGGAAGCAGTATCCTGGTATCTGGTTCATACTCTCCTGAACGTTGTCTTCAATTCCTATGTTTACTTTCGTTGACTTGTTCATCATTTGGATGGTCAATTTTCAAAGTAAAGCAGACTTTCCACACGAAAACGTCATGAATTTGTTTACGGAACATCTAGCCTCGCTTCACTAACCTCGATCCAAACACATGTACATATGTCAAAAGCGTAGCCACTCTATATATTGCTATTAAATGGGGCGTACGTGGATTGTCCGTGGGCCTTTTAGCGCAAAAAGGAGTAAAGTTTATGTGAGCCCCGAATAAATATTTCCAGTTTTCCCTAGGACATTCGACCCAGGTGAATATCAGAGGGGAAAAATCCCTAACTGCATATTCGAACTACTTTTTTTATTCACTGCGAATAATCTGAGTAATGTGAAAGCTCTTCACTTACATTTTTTTCTGCTTTTTGCAGTACTTTCCTTTTGTCGATAATCTGGCATTACAGGAAGATCGTCTATCCGTTCATCAGCGAAGCTGCACTCCGGAGAATCCAGCCAAATCGGTTTATAAGGGAAAGCAGAAGAGTCGATCGGTGTCGTCGAAACGTAATGGCCAAAGCGATTCACTGAAGGCACCTCTCAACTAGTCGACCTCTATCATTCCAAAAAGCCAGCGGTTACCTTTCTATCCAGATTTTGTGTTTTCTGTATTGCGCAGCAGTAGCTGTTCATAAATCTAATCATTGTGAATGTCGATACGTGCATAAAATTGATTCCCAAGTCTGTGTGATGTCTATATGGTTGAAATGTGGAAGCCACCATATAAATGTCTTGATCATGACAAAGCAATAACTTACTTTTCAACTGTCGGTGCTTTTACCAAGTCCTATACACGTCATCATGAATGTGTAATAAAACTAAATGCGATAAATTAAGAAGCTTCCGTTTTGAACAATCTTCTTCTCTCTCATGTTCTATTTCATAGACCCTTTCTCCTCTTCCGAAACTGCTCGAGCAGACAGATTGTGAAAGAGGAGGGGAAGGGTTACCGTGAAGATATTCCACTGTCACCCCTTCTCCCGTTCGGTCCCATTACGATTCTTGGTGATCGTTCTTTAAAACCCGATAGCAGCTTTACGGTATGATACTCACTAACTGGATCTCACCGTGCAGTAGTTCTATCTAGCCGACCATTCCATGATATGTACTTCAGCGCTTTACTGACCTATGGTAACCTTGAGTCAGCAGGGTTGGCACTCCCATTACTGGTAGTCGAGGGGAAAACTCGTCATTCAAACTTCAAGTCGCCTTGGTGAAGTACGAAGACGCGAGACCGGAGCGAAGAAGTTCATAGCCAAAGACAATGGAAACGCTAGAAGTGTGGCAGAAGTCGTCGCGATGGTTATTGCTTCTGAAATTCAGTATCATTGGTACGGCGTAGCGAGTGCTACCTGTCACTTTACTTTTGCAAGGTAGAGGTATGATACATATGGTAACTGATAGTGCTATTCAGCGTCCACCAGATCGTATACTCCCTTTTTGTAAAACAAGATCTTCGAGGCCTGTAATCTTCCAAGGCAAGCGAAGTGGATGCGCAGAGTCTACTCATTTTCTTCTATCAAGCCATGATTACTGAACTGTAAGATGGTTATCAAAAAGTAGAAGGTAATCGAGGAAAATAGGAGCGGTTTGCCCTGCTTCGTTCATGGTAATGGTAATTGTCACAACGGTTGTTAAACTCATTTTTATTCCCTAGAACGAACACAAAATCAAAAACAGCATTGCCACAATTCTGGCTAGAACTGTATGACTACAAAAGCTGATCATCAAATATGAGTTGCTGGCGATATTCGAATCGTTCCAACTCCACATCGGGCATTTCTGCCGGTAGCTTTAAAGGCACTCATTTCAATCATACTAATCTGGGTCCCACACGATCGGCCAAATGCCAAAGATGTAAAACTTTGAGGTTCAGAAGGGGAGGATGGAAAGAGGGGAGGAGGTTGGGGCTGTATGGCGACAGAGGAAACGAGCATGTAAGCATATTAGGTTAGCCATTCAGGAAGAATAAGTCAGGTAATTGAAGCTATTCAGAAATCTGGAGAGCACTCCCAATCAGTCGAAGCGAGCTCTTCACTCTTTGTAGAGAGAGGGTTCTATACTCCTCAAAGAGCACAAACTCGGACGTGGCTGGGTTGAACATATGGGCAGATCTCCTCAGAACGTGTTTTCTCCAAGGCAGTCCTCCCACTCCACCGAACCCACTTTTGATATGCCGTGGGTGGACAAAGCCGAACTGTAGTCCTCTTCAGATGCCCCATTAAGATGGAACACTGACCATTCTTGTTTATTACCGGTGTTTTAGATGCTTGGTATTTTACCTACTCATTTTACGAGGATCGTTTGATTTCTTTTGAACTAACTGACGGTTTTTATAGGACTCACATCCGTAAGCGTGTTATCCGAATCTTCTCCATCTTTTTTGCCATGTTTCTTTCCTATAGAAATTAAAAATGAGATGAATAAGCAGTTCGTATGAGTTCAAACGTACGTTTAATTTCTGACTGCCTTGCAAAGTGCGGATCTGATATAAGCGGTGGTGGTGTTTGCAAGTTTTGTACTTGTAGGTTGCTGAATGATAAAACCATCCACATACTAACCAATAAGCGTTCATTTAGCTCCACTATATTATGAATCACATTCCGGTCCCCTAACAAAACAGCCTGTTAATCAGTAACGGGACAACTCGTCCCACTCTCGAAACCAATTGATTAACTGATGGTTAGCGGAGCCGTCAAGTTTGGAACTACAGATCGCCACCAGCTGTGTGACAACTAGCAAAGTAAGGAGTCATAACCCCTTAAGCCAAAATTTCTTTGTTCGCATCTTCCTTGGCGGCCTACCCTTGACCCCGTTTCTTTTCTGCTTCATTTCATCAAAGTTATCGACGATACTGTGTTTGGCTGACATAGAGAGATTGGCTGTGTCCGTCTTTAACTAGAGAGCCCGTTTCTGATAGGTATAGGCCTCAGAATATTCTTCACCAAAAATTTCCATCCTCGTACTACCCTCGAGTTTGAATAAGGTACCATCAGATCATGATCAGATGAAATTGTCGAGTACCTACTTCCTAGCGATATCCTTCTGCCGATCACCTGATCGTGGGGGCGAACGAGCCGGCCTTGGTTGGTCATCACCTTTTTTCAACTCTTTCTCCATTTTCTTACTTGCCTTAAGTAATTATCAGATTAAATATTGGCCATGTGCAAAGAGCTGGAATCAGCATTCCAACTCTTAAGCTGTCCTGCCCACATGATTGAGATACTTATCGATCCATATATTGGAAAACAGTGGAATCGAGAAAACGTGCAAGACTGGAATAATTGGGTTGTGTGGTCGGCTGCCAACACCAAATAAATATCGATTGGTTGAACATCTCCCTGATTCCACGTTTATGAGATCGATACGGGCTCGGTGCCTGTAGTGGATCCCAAAATTTTACAATTCTTCGTATCACTCATCATCAGCTTTTTCCCAGCAGAGACTTTAAGAAATTTTACTTTCACGTGAGAAAATGGTTGTAATTCCTTATGTGAAGCTTTCTCAGGGGCGAGTATTGAGTCAGTTTAATGTTGCCCTCTTGTCTGGAATATATCGCCTACCTTTCTCGATTGGAAACACATCGCGGAAAAAGTCTTCACTGATCGCTGCTTGAAAATCTACAAAACGGGACCCTACCAGGGAATAGTTACGCATATATTTTTCATCGTATAATATGATTGAATTCACGGACTGATACAGGATATCAGGGATAAACTACCGCCTCGGAAGCAGCATAATTAACTACACCAAACACAACCTTGTGGCTTTTATCGGTTTCACGAGAGAGAATAACGTCTCCTGGCATAATCCCATGTAAAGGATACCACCTCCTCCTCCCCCTCCCCTCCCCCCGTGGAACGAGAACAGGCGGAAATTGCCGGGCCGAGGCACACGCGGTCGCGAGCGGTGGGCCTTCAACGGAGTTTGCTAATTGCCCGTCGTTCTTGGAGTCAAGAATATTGTGATACAGGTTTCTACTTGTTTGAACATGAAATCCCCTCTTCCTCTCTCGGCAAGCCGTGCCGCGAGCGGAGCGGACGTGTTACAGGGGATCAAGCGCTCATCTTTGACCTGTGGCGCGTAGGTCTCAGTTCGCTAGGAAGTAGCACGACCTCCGTCCTTTCTGGGCGAAGGACCACTAGCCCTTCATTTTTAGCAGTTTCTGATCTACGATTGCCTCCTTGATGGAGTCGATATTGATGAGTCTATTCCTTCCTTTTCAAGACCTCCACTACCTGCATCGTCACAAACGCCGGCAAATATGCACATGGCCAGACATTCATCAACAAGTATTTCCATTACCAGTGCCACAATGGAACGACTGAAATTGTCAGTGAGTTAGACTTACTTTTTTTGAATAATCTTTGCCATTCCTCTTAAATTTCATCATTACAGCATGTATTGCCGATGAAATCAGTAATTCAACTGGGGCGTACCTTTGAATGGAATGATATCGTGCATAAATGCATGATCCTAGTTCATATAATTCGCTAAGTGTGTCTGTTGGTGTGTCGGTGTGTTTGTGTGTGTGTCGGTGTGTGTGTTTGACCGGAAATTCATAACTCATGTCTCTGTGGACCTAGAGCGTTCACATTTGGTAGGGGTAAGGGGGGCACGATGGGAACACCTTTGGTAAGTGGTAGGGCCGGACTCCGCCTACAGGGGGTGGGGTTTTGCGCCGCAATAATCAATTTGGCCCTAGGGCAATCAAACTTGGCGGGGGTACAGGCGGCAAGATGGGAACATGGGTGGGAGGACCGGACCCCGCCTATAGAAGGCGAAGTTTGCGCTAAAACTTTCAGTTTGCCTCTAGGGCGTTCAAACTTGGTAGGAGGCAGTATGGGAACACTTGTGGTGAATAGTAGGGCCGAACTACGCCCCCAGGAACAGGATTTCGCGAAATAAATGAGTGGAAATCCATAGCTGCTGATCCCGTGGACTTGGAGAGCAATCAACAGGAGGGGGCAGGATGGGAACACTGACAATAGAAGAGGCCTCAGAGAAGAAGATCCACACACCAATTACCTCCTAGCGCCTTTGTTATTTACGATCTAGCTTTGACTTTTTGGTATGTTTCATTTGACAAGAAGGTTAAGTTGTGTGATTACAAGAAGATGAATTTGGTTCACTTCTTGCTATTAGATTACGACCGCTAAACAGCAGAGTCTGCGATTCAGTAAAAGATCACGGCTTCTCTTTGCTTTGATATCATTCTTAGCAAAATTTATCCGACCGGTAATAATGTTGGGTTCATATTTAATGATGTATCCGTAGAGAAAAGGAGATACATCTTTGAAGGCATTCGATGGTCTATACTCTCGCTCAGCGAAAAAGCGAGATAACATATTAAAAAGTTCGATATTTTTCGGGCAAAGTCCCTTTGCCCCAAGGAGGAGGAGGGCTTGATGATGGCATTGAGAAACATTGATGGTAGCTAACATAGTAGCCTCAGCCGCGATGAAGTCTCTGAATACTTGTTTCTCTGAATAATCGCCTTTGTGATTAAACGATGTTCTTTCGGACACAGCGAGGTTGGCTTACAGAAAAAGTCGCTCCCAATTCGGAGCTAATACTGAGGGTGTAGAACTTTCAAAGCAAAAGGAGAATCTGAAGTGTTATTCACGCATAGCAAATTTCTCACAGGAAGAAGGAGCGCCCGACGTAGCCGGGCGAACCCATAAGAAGGAGGGAAGCCCGGCGTCAGCCGGGCGGCCCGAGTGGTTTGATAAACGGAGAAATACGAGGAGGGTGGGAGGTTTTGTGAATTTTTGTCGCTATACTCCAAAAAAGGGCTACATTGCGACTTTGTTGCGATTCCTGATCTTTGAACTGTCGTCAAAGCAAAGTACGACTATTTTGAATGACGTCTGCTAAAAAGAGCCGGTGCAGGTGAAGCCGGTAAAACCCGGGATAGGACCCGACCATATTCGTATGAGATAGCACGGAACAGGGTGTGGCGTGAGAGAGGAAGAAGAAGAAGATAATCAGTGAACCGCATTCATCATCGGATTTTCGGCAATCGTTTTTGGGGTCATCGTTACCAATGCGCTACTTCTCTGACGGCAATGTTTTTCCAACGGCTCTCTCCTTAACGGAGGACGGCCATGAACACCATTAACTGGATCATTTTCTTTTGTCTGGCTGTTCAACTTGCCTTTTTGCTTGTGTGTGTCACTTCAAGGACGGCTCGTCTTCTTCTTGAGGAGGCCACTGAATCCACTCATTCATCTTCATAGCACCACTTAGGAACTTTTTTATTGACAAAGTGGAGATCCACGAAAGTTTCAGATTATTCCAAAGTTAGGAATACCGCTGCGAGTTGGCTCAGTCGATGAATTAGTTACTGCAACTGACAGAATCTAACTATTCAAGACACCTATCACCTGTTCAACCTCCCTAAAGAGTGTAGTACAGTGGTACGAATTTTCGGAGTCAATACCCAGCTATGCTTATAAAGGCCCTGTTTTATACGATTCATTCGCTGTTCTTTAGCCTAAAAAATCGACTCCGAACCAACATTTTGAATACTGGACTGAGAAATTCTATAAGGAAGTTCATGCGCTGTAGATCCATCTAGTATAGAATTTCGCCGTCTGGCTGAAAGTTTCGCTGATAAAACAGTGAAATGATAAAAGAAGCTCGTTTTTTTTTTACTTTCAGCAGGGTATATGTATAATTTCTTGTAATATTACAGGGTTGCTGAGTTATAGGCAGAACTTACTTATCGATGTTCAGCTCTTGCTCTACTGGCAAAAAACTTGAGCTTACTAAAGTGGAACTTCTCAGAGGATAACACAAATGGTTAAAAAAAATCCAAAATTCTGGCTGCGGCATTGCGGACTTGTGAAGGTTTTGTATAATTCCTGAAAATTTTCATGCAGTCAGTTCTGTGATCGACCGTTTGGTAAACTGCGAAAGTGAGGAATTCCCAATGATGCTCTTAGAATGATTATTCACTGCTCACTTACTTATCTTAAGGCAAGCAGACGAATATTGTTATTTGTTTAGTTCACTGTCCGACTAAACAGGAAATGTTACTACCCTAAAGTCTTATTGATGGGAGCTATTTGATATTTTAATTTTTGTAGCGACCCTGGTCTCCCCTCGGACTTTATGACCCATTCTCGGTCAAGAAACAACTATTACTGTAACGGGAATATGTTCTTGAGGAAATGATCTTGTATGTCCACCATCAAGCCACACAACCTGTGTGATTTGGCTTTTTCCTTATTTATCAGAGCTTTTCACTCAGAAAAAAAGTCTTTATGCTTCCTCTTAAGGGAGTTGCTTCGAATAGTAATCCGATAGGATCGCGCTAGACGCTTCATCCAGCAATCGTTTCCAAGGTCATTTGAGTCCGATTGATTTTAGCGAATGTTTTCTAATGGGCTGTCAATCAGTAGAATTGGATTTTATTATCTAGCCCATATCTCAACTTGTGAAGGATTACTGGACATCGCTAGCCTGAAAAACCGATCTGAGAGGTACCTCTTCGTGCTACGCAAATTCTTCCCTTCCTTTGTATGACCTTAGTAATCCTCTCATCTCCCTTTAATTATTTTCGGAACGTTTCAATAGAACGTCTTAAAGACGTCACTACTTGTTGTGAAATGTCCTACTCAGGTCATTTGCCCGTTTTATCGCTCCGTCAGAATTTATCTATGTAGGTTGCGCAAATCTTCAGTTACCATCGATTTTTTTTACCTAACTGACGCCAGTTTTCTCTGCAATGTTTCTTCGATAGCTGGTATCGTCTTCGAAAGCGATTTCAAAGAGCTATCCAACTCCACGCTCAGAAAATTCTCAATTTTTAAATTTAAGTCAATGTAGCAGTTAAATACTCACAAAAAGGAAAACCTCAAGGCACATTTCACGATGAAACGGTTTCTGAGGGACTTTCCTTTGATAAGTCTGTGGCTTCCCCGTATATCGTATGTGGCGCTCTCAGATCGGTAAACGGCTTAGATAGGGCGTTATAAGGGCTAAGAGATTGTATCAGCTGAATGTCACACCCATGACTGATTAGTTTCAACGGCATTGTAGAGGCTGTATCTCAAGGGACTCTCATGTTGTAAATTCAAAGGCCTAAAAGTTACCCATGACGACAGTGAATAGCAGTTTTGGACATTTTCAGGTTCATACGGTCAATTTTTTGAGTAATTGCAACGAGTGGAATTTCGTCCAAATACCCTTTTTATTCTACTTCCTTCATGATGACCTCACACACCTCTATTTCCACTAATTTAGAAAAGATCCATTTTCCGACTGCACCATGTGATGGAAACTTTTTTTTGGAAAGAACGACAGAGGGGGAATTATGCCGTGGAGGGAAGTTTTTAGCGTCAATCTATCCAGCGTCGTTTTGGTGTGCGCCCTGCATTCTATTACCATCTGGAATCGGAATGCATTTCGACCACTTGCCTCCCCCACCTGACCCAAGTGTATCATAATAAGGCGTGATGAAAGTTCCTCATTATCAGTAAGGTATGGAATGAGATTCACGTCGTATATTTTTAGGGAGATAGCTTTATTTGCTGGTATTCTCTACTTTGACTTCTTTCTCTCGATTTTTTTCAAGTTTCGCATATTCCTGAGACATTTTTTCTTGAAAACTTTACAAAATACACTTGTACTAAGGTAAGCGTCGAAATAGGCCTTCTTTGGGCCTAAGTCAATGAAATAAGGTCACTATTTCGAGAACATTACTAGTTTCAAGTTATATGAAGTACTCATGAGGGCTGTCTCACTGTACACTTTCGTCTGTCCTTCCAACTCCAGAAACTCTTACACTCTCATCTCAACGAAGCACTGAAGTTCCTATAACCAGAGATGTTTCCATAACCAAGCCGAAAACTGGAAACTGAGATGATATAAAGACTGAATAAGTTTCCCCTCTCGTTTTACGATGTGAGAATCCGCTTTTGCGAGAAAGAACGCTTTGTAAAACACAGAGTTCGATTTTGTTCAAGACAACGTCAAAGCGTGGTCACACGGACGTTGGCTTACGGATCAGATTTGTCGACGATAAAACTCTCATCTTGTCCAGTATATGTCGATTTCAATCAAGTTCCAGAACGCCCTGTTCCTTTGAAACATCATCGGCTCCCTGTTTAGAAGAGGGTTTTGTCACTACCCATACCCTTATATCAAGCACTCATTGCGGATCAACAAGCCTACTGCAGTCTTCTTATTGCTTATACTAGTCGTGGCGAATTGTCGTAAAGTAATATAATATGTATCTCTTGCATGGTAGGATGAATTAGAGAAACGAAAATTCAGTATAGCACTCGGCTTTTACTGTAATCCGGCACAGCATAACCTCACTCGTCATATATACGACACGTCGAAAGGGGGCTTTAGGCAGGAGGGACCCGGGGCTGGGTATTGTATAAGCGAGGGGGTTACTGTAAGAGCGGAGTGGCGGTATTTTTGTGGGCGAATTATGTTAGGGATTTGGATCTGTGCTGAATTTTCGTTTCTAATATGCTAATGTACTACTTTCGAAACTAATGCAGATGCAGTGATAGGTCTCGGAGTAGCTCGCCGGGCAGAACAGGCCACAATTTTTGTTTACATTTTTTTGTACAGACGAGTTTCTAGTTGTTGGTTCGATTTACCTGTGTCGGTCGCTTATTGATCTGTTTCCCACTAATTATTGTATTCCAGGTATGCTTTACATTATCTTGCCCTTGACGCTGATTGTCCGAGTCCAATCAATAGTGGATCATGAAGACCGTCAGATTATCCTCACTGCGCATGGAATGAGCATCGATGATGTGGATAACCGAATTGTTATACCAAGTAAGTTCGATTGCACTAGCCGTTACTGTAGCTATACTGTAATATGTAAACTTCAACTTATCCTGGGCTTCTTAACTATACATTCAAATATTATGATTGCTGATTCCTTTTAGATCATGCGCTTACAAGAGAATGTGTGAGAAATTAACAAAAGACGTGCTCTTTTCTCAACGGAAATTTAAACTTGATCAAAAATTAAAGTCTTCGCTTTCTGATGCTGGTTCACCATGTATGTGTTGTAAATGTGGGGTGGCGTATGCTGCTACGCTGAGACGCGTGCCGTTGCGAAGCAATAGGCTCTCGCGTGGACGAGATTGCGTATGGTTTTCAATGTATAGAGCGCTGTGTTTCGCATTAATACTTGATCAAAGCCGGAATTTCCTTAAAATTTATGGAGGGCTACGATAACTGGTCATACTTGTCCAAATTCAAATCCCTGGTTACCGTTCTCTCAAACCGGAACCGGGCGAACGCCACGTCTCAAGGGATTGACAGATTTTTGCCGGCCAATGGCACGGGTCATGTCAGCAGGAGAGTAGCAAGACTTTCTATCCTTTCTGTTTAAAAAACGACTTGTGGTGGTCCCACTTAGCGTTTTAGTATTGGTAAGTCAGTTTTTTGTAGCTCTTGATCTGCGATTGCTTTGCTAATGGGATCGATATCGATGGGTGCCACTCTTTCAGTACAAGACGGCCGCATACCTCCACTTCCCTGCATCGTCGCAAACGCTGGCAAATATGAACATGGCCAGACGTTCACCAACAAGAATTTCCATTACCAGTGCCAAAATGGAACAGCTGAAGTTGTCGGTGAGTTCGACTAACTTTATTCAACAGATTTCTCCCATATCGCTAAAGTTTTGTCATTTTCACAGCTTGTATTGCCGATGATCAATCAGTAATTCAACTGGGTCGTACCTTTGTACGAAATGGTATCATGCACAAATGTACGATTGTTGGAGATTCGGTGACTTACGAACAGGGTGAGCAGGTTTTTCGAATGTTTGTCAATTTTGTCAGAAAAATGCTTTCGATTTCATCTTTGCTATCAGTTCTGATACGAGTCCTGAACACACGAGCTATCATTTTTTGTTATCTGCTGGACTTGTTCCCAGTATGCTGTCCGAACCAGGGTCAAAAGTGTTTTCTTAGAATTCTGATAGCTATGGGTGTAAATATTAAAGACTAAAGAGAGAGCGTGTTCATGGTATGAAATGGATATAACCACGGCAGCATGAGAGAAGCGTTTTGAATCTGTAGTTTCTCAATTGCATGCCAGAACAATGATTTAATCATTTCCTACTGATATTTCCACTAGTCATGGTCTTACGTACCGTGTCGCTGTAGAAAAGTGAAAACGATCCTTTTTCACAGAAGCAATGTGTTTCGACAACGGTGTCCATTACTCGATTGGTGACACATTCCGTAACGGCTCATTCCGCTTGACTTGCGGACGAGATGGTATTACCATTGAAGGTGAGGATCATGCGACTTGTTCTCTAAACCGATCATCGTTCAGTACTTTTTTTTCTAGTAGGGCTCCTTCGTGAAAACGAACACCATATGGGTGAAATCACAGTTATTGCATCTCATCGGTAAATTTTTTGTGAAAAGAGTGTAGAAACTCCTGATTTGAGGAAGAGAAGTTTGAGAGATCTCGCTCATACAGCTATCATCACCACTTCCTCTTGTAGCAAATTCCACGGCCCCGGTCGCTGGCAAGAAATCCAGAATCTTCACCGTAACTCATGAAAGAGCATTTAATTACGGTCTGGAGAATATACCGTATCAGCAGAGGGGCCTTGATGTCTCCTACTCTGAACGTCCTCGCACATGTAATCCAGTGATATCATCAGTTGACATTAGTTTCGTCGCTGTAATTTCGATTTTAAATACATTATCGTGACTTGCTGGAAATCGGTTCAGCTTACAGGCGAATGAAGCTGCTCCACTCCGTGACTCACGAAATATGCTTTCAGTACCTTATTTTTATAGGGATACCTTGTAAATGAAAGTGATACTGCCACTAGAATTTTTACTTATTCCAGGGTGCTATTTGCAAAATTCTGGTGGATACTTGATGGCTGGCGAGTCCAGAATCGTTGGCAGACAACGCCACGAGTGTGAGGTTCTAGCTGACGGGCGCGTAAGGTATCAAGTAAAAGGTGAATTTAACGAGACGCTATAGGCTATGACCCAACAACTACTGCTATTTAAAATTGCAGTGATTGGATGCGTACGTGAAGGCCAACAGTACAATATTGCCCAGGTGTTCACCGACAGGCATGTTCGATATCAGTGCAAAAACGACGGGACGTTGGATGTGTTAGGTAAGCTGATCCGCTCAAAAATGATATTTCTGCATTCACAGCTGAATCCTAGGTTGAGCCCCTTTCGAAATCCCTTGTTTGGAACCTGTGATACGACCCTGATTAGACATTCTTCTGCCTAGATAATAATGCCCTACAAGATCTGCTTTTCCTACCAGACGTTATCTCTAGCTCTCAACCGGAACTCAGATCGGGTTCTGCGTTGTCTTTCGTGCAGCTGTCCGTTTACCTCCTCTCTGGAGGTCCTCATGAAACCACCTTAGCACCCTCACCTCGGGAAATTCTCGATATCAGTTGGCAGGCTTCCATCCCATACTTGTGGTTACTGTGGAGGTTTTCTGGACGGTGAGCAGTACTTTAGGAATAGTCTAGCCTTCAAAACGATAGTGATGAAATAGAAGCTCGGTCAACTGAACGAATGTCATAAGCGAGAAGACTGAACTTTCCACTATGGAATGGCCTGAATCACTTCCTCTCCGTTGAATTTTCTCAGCTTCGAATCAGAAGACGAAGGCAACTTCTGGGCTTTTCCTCGTTGACAAATCCATTTAAATTCATTCTACCGTTACATCTTCCTTCTCCCTTTCTGAAATTTCTTGGGCTTCTATCTTTTCCGTCATTCACGGACAACTCGTGAGGTTTCATTCTTTTCTCCTACTTGAAGATTTGGTAACTGAAAGTGAGTTGGCAACCACTGTATGCTTGATCCAGGCATAGATCCAGAATTTCGCTCAGACTAATCTTCAATTTTTTCTCTATTTGGTCATGGTCAAACATCAAAACTACCACAGTGCAACGAAAACTGGTATATTTACCACCTGGGCTCTACAAGCCATAGAAATGGTGTTTAGATGAAGGTCAAACTCTCTGTCGACCCTTTCGGAGATAGAACCCACATCGTATTCGATTTTTTTTGGAAGGTTTTATAAGGGACCTCTGCCACTTATGAGGCCAGCCAATGAGGGAGTAAATCCTTCAAAAATCCTGAACGACTCCGGGACCAATAAGCCAACTCCGGCGGTTGCAAGGTCTGATTGGTTCAGGTGGGTACCAATCCCAACTTTGAAAGACGATGCATATGGGGCTTTCGGCATTATACTTCCTCCATATAATATGATAGCAGGTAAATTTGGGCTTCCCGTTTCAGGATGTATCGATGATGGACTTTTCCTCGATTTGGGTCGTGATCTTCTGATGAATGGAATGGTTCATAGATGTTATCAGGTCGGGACGACAACGTTCTATCACAAGTGAGTGTTTGAGTTTTCTAAAAAGTGGCCCTCCTTGAATGAGTACTTTTTGTTACTTGTCACTCTTACTTGAACTGTAAGTGATTGTGTCTAACAATAAAAGGAAGCTTCGCGCTTGGGTAATTTGCCATCAGTTGCACTCCCCTATTCAGCTATCCACGAACTGAACGAAAGTCATGCAACTGACTGGGTTTCAGTGGGACTCGATTTTTGTGTTCAATTAAGATGTCAGATTTCGACACTTACTCTTTCTAGGATTATGCAAGTGTTATTTGAGAAATGTCTACATTCAGAATTGAAATCTAAATGTAGCCCTGATTCAATTTTCACTTTTCCCTAGAAAAAACTGCTCAGTTGGAAATTAGTCATTCCTAAAAGGCTATAAGTCAGCGCGACTACGGAAGCAAAAAGAACGAACTTTCATGTTCATTTTCAAAGCAGTCTTCATTAGTCATGCGCTTTTGAAAAAGTGCTGTCAAAGTTCATTTCCTGTGACGTTTTTCTCTGCTTGGATTCTTTTTTCTCTGGATCTTGATTGGGGTGATTCATGCCTTAACGTCCAGGATTGCTGGAAAATTGTATGAAATCTTACCCCTAGAGGGATATAAGAGTTGGCCATGAAAAGATATGAAAATTATCTTTAGAAATATCAAACTTCAAATGTAAGAACTTGGTTTAAATGTGAGCGTTATGGGTGGCCATGGCTGCTGCTCAAAGCTGCAACCAAATCTGAACTCATTGGGCCCCCTCCAACTGGAGTGCCAACGAGAATTAGTCATGAGTTTAAAATAGCAATCTGGTTGGCATTATAAAAATTTCCATTCGAGTACTCGACGTGTTTCACAGAATTTCATTTGTAGGCATTAATAATTTTAATCATTTTTTCCATACGTGCCGTCACAGGGTATAGTGCTCATGTCAGAAGTCGGCTATCTCCCTATCTATCATCGAATACCCCACCATGTTGCTTTATTCTATTCGAACCCTAACTTGGCTTGTTTACCATCCCTTAATTGGTAAATCTCGTTGTTGCCTGCCCTAGGCGCTTTTACATTTTACAGTAACAGCCGTAGAAATGAAGTAAGTGGTTCCCGATAGAAGTGAATGAAGGCGGACCATCAGTCGATTTTCACAGGAAACGAATGGTCCTTTTGCTTTTCCAGATTTTCTGACTCAACAGCAAGAATATAAATGAAAGTCAGATTCACGGCGCATCACTTTCTTGTTGGGTTAGCCATAGTCTCACGTTTCTGAATGGTATTGCTCGAAGCTTGGAAGAAGCAACCCTCCGAATACCAGTCATTGTTTCTTTGCGAGCACTTTCTCACTGAGCAACCGATACCATTCATATCGCATATCAGTGATCAGGATGGTCTTCCTCAATTTATCAATCAGTTCGTAAATGCGACAATGGAAAGATTTCTGATCGACGACTTTCCAAGTCAGCTGCCTGACCGTTCATGGTCACAAGGTGACTTGGAGCGATTGCGATACGCGAATTGATAAATCAGTCAGTGAGCACGTGTTGGCCATGCTGATATGCTGAAATTCGCTGGAGAACTTCAATCTCTAGAACAATTTGCACTGGACTAGTCAACGGCCTAACACCAGCCACATTCCTGGCACAAGTCGAATTCCGAATGAAAAACCTGTAAGAACAGATGAGTATTTTCTGGGGATTTTACGTCTAGCAGTTGATATACATGTGGTGTGGTAATGTCCATTCCGCGGAGTCCACCTGATGCATTGCTCGATTTGTGCGAGATGGGCGGAGCGTTTCACAGTGGGTGGAGCTTCCCATAATGTTTACCTCTCCTATCAGGCAGTTGAGCAATGATTTAGCAAACACTGAACATAAACTAACTATACGATGATTGATTAATCATTATTTGTATTAGTATTTGATTATATATTTTATTATAAATAGTATTGAATTTCTGTGAACTTAACATCACCTATGGGAAGACTAATAAAAAGTTGTACAAGCAACGAAACGAACTCTAGTGCCATGTCATAAAGGCCCCTCATCTCTAAGGTATGAGAATGGATAATGAGAGGTGGAAGGGGTAGAGGGTGGAGTTTTGATAATGGACTTATTCAACCCTGACCCTTGTTGGAATGCCAAAATGGCTCATATGAAATGACAGTTATACTATTGGTACAAAGTGCATATGTACCCTTCTAGCCAAAGAGCCCTAATTCCACTAACTTCACTCCTCCTTTCTCCTTTTCCGTTATCTATGAGCTTAAAACCTTTACAAAACTCTTCACGGTTTCGAATCATTCTGTTGTCCAAGTATGAATCCCGTTTTGCGCTGCACTCCAAGTGGACGTCCATCGGAACCGCAGTCATACCTGTCATACGATGACTTGCGTTGATTAACCGAGGTACAGCACGATATTTTTGTCCTCTTGGAACCAATTATTCGTCGCCGTTGGAATGGTAGATTTTGTTATCCTGGGCAGATAGTAGTTCGGTGCTTGATTCTCGGACCATCCACTTAAAAATGTGCCACCTGCCACGACGACATCCTGGTCCATTCCCAACTTATTCGAGGGTTAATCGGGCAGTAGGCAGACCCCTATCCACTTGTTTCTAAACGCTTGTTGCGAAAAGGAGCAGACACCACGTTTTTACATATATAAATCAACTGATTACTAGTACAGTTCTTAATTCATATAGCTAGCTCCTATTATGAATTCGCTGAACAATCCAAAGAAGAAATAGAAAAATTCCCTTCCTATTTACTGAATTTCAAGGACGAGAAAGGGGAGTAGTTTGAAAAATAAAAACGGAAATGAACAAACTGATTTCTAAGACCGAGGAAAATTGATGGTGGACCGGCTGAGTTGTTACGCCTTTCGAAGACTATGTAACACAATTCTAGAATATACACTTCCTGCAGATTCTGAGGTCGCTCCAGTGACGATCAACCCTTTTCGAGATGCGTCATGCACACTGCATTCGATTCTTTCCCTCGAGTACTGTATGGCTGCGGAAATTGGCAGGACCATCGAATTTATAGTCCTTATTCAGAAACAAAGAAGAATGGCGGAGAATGGTTGAATGGCTCCAAGAAAGTGAAGAGATCAAACTTTTTTGAAAGTTGCCTCTTCGAATTAATTAGAAATTGGTGCTCTATGAAGTCACCATCAAAGCTAACGGACTTTTCACCCTTCGCGTTTGCCCTAAGCCAACTAAGCAGGCTGCACCAGAAGATGACCATACTTCAGGGACTTCGACGAGACCACTTTTGATTACATAACAACTAGTCTGACCCATTGTGACAGTGAAGGAAGAAAGTTCTTGTCCTGCTGTAGCAGGCTCAAAGCAGTAGTGCACAACAGAAAGCCTATCCAAGTACTCTCTCCATGCCATTTCTGTCGTCATTATTTTGCACAACTTTCTTTTACTTCATGTTCGAAGTCCTCATGTAAGGGGTGTTTAGCAGTAGCGCTCATATGTTTTTTAACTATTAATTAATGCAGCATTACATTTCTTACATTTATATACTATTACATTGTTATCCTTACATTTATTGACTTCATTTCACTTATGTGCAGTACAGGTAAACCCTTAGAAAAGAATGAGTGAGATAATGACGAGTGGCATGGTAGGAGTATTGGGATAAATAGAATCACTAGCAAAAACGTACCCAAGAAATGAACTTGGCAGTAATAAATGAAGAACAAGAAAAATAAGGAGTAAGTATAAATATTTAATATTCAGAAAGGGTAGAGATGATTTTCGGCAAGTGACGCTCCACCACATATGTATGATACTAACTTGGAATTTCGTATGAATCCTCGCCCAGGCCAACCGAGCCTTCTACATCCCTGGATCGGGTAGTCCGTCCCAGACTCATTTGAAAGGATATAAGCACCTGCTAGGCGCGCAAGTCTTCGTATATGATACATACCCATCCAAAACCTCATTACGATTCCGATGGAGGTCCAGTGTGTATCCCAAACAAGTATCCATCAACGCAGAAGCTTTATCCTTTCCTTTATCCTTGAATTCCAAAAAGAATTGAGTGCTTTGTATTATCAACTGCATTTCTTTATTACGAAGCCTGATACTTTAGCAGGAAGCCCTCGTTTTCTATTTACTACAGAGCAGCACCCCTGAGTTTTCAAGTATTCCCTTTCAGATTTCTCAGATTAAAGCTAATCATTATCTATTCGCGTCTACTTTTATAGAATCAGGTTCTCCCAATGACTTTGAGGCTCTCTAATTATGTGGCAGATGGCAGTTATTTCCGGATGGTAATGCATGATAACTGTACTCCTGTAATGAGTAGTTGTTTTCAATGTGGAAAGTACTTTCAACCGTTCTGGGGCGAGTTGTCCAGATATTAGTTCTGCACGCATATTATGGCAACGAAATTGTATTTAATAAAAAGTAAATAGAATGGAGTACTATGAAATAATAAATTGAACAAAATAAAAAGACAGAGTCAGTCCTCTTCGTCACTTAATCTTTGTTCTCCTTTATTTCATTTATTTCCTATTTCCATTGATTTATTTGTCTATCAGGTGTGCAAAAAATTTCATAATGGTCGCAGCGAACGGTGAACAGTATGCGTCTTCAAGTCTAACCTGGTATTATTATGTAACATCTTAATAATGGGCAGAGGTGGTTAGCGGCAAAAGCCGCACCATCACACACGCGCATGGTCACCCATCCGAATCCAGGATCGACTGCGCCTAAGCCAACCAGGCCTTCATTTTTCTGCGATCGGTTGAGTGGTATCAGACTTGTCTGGAAGAATAAAAGCACTGACTTGTACATCGGCTAACACTCGTAATTCATTGCATCAGTGTCTAAGCCAGATACGCATTCTGAATGAAAGCCGAGTGCGCACTCAAAAACGGGATTGATCAACTTATAACTGTAGAAGCGCTAGAGCTTGTAGGCTTTATACTTTCATCATGAGAATAATAGGTTCACCAGTAAATCAACAGTTACCAGTGACTGGTCGCTTATCAGTTTTACAATTATTTTTCAAAATAGGGCTTGTGGTACAACTTCTGGAGGGTGCAGCTCGTGATATTGCCTCGTTGCGCTGTGGCATCAGTGATATCGAACGGTAGGGTGCAGAAAAGTAAAAAATTACTTCATCACAAACGAAAAACTCACGTACATTTCAATTTTTCTGACAATAAGGCAACACTTTCGCAGCAATTTCATTAGTAAGGGAACAAAGTAAATGTCAGATTACGTACTTCTGTAAGATCTTCCTGATTCACCAATCAGTCCTTTGCTCACTATTAGTAGTTGTCCTTCACTTGTAATGATGATGCGATTGTACTAGAGGGAAAAGAGTTGTCGATTTTGATCAGTTCGCTGGACTGCCTTCAACTTTCATTCAGAATCATAATGACGCTAGGAAGTCATGATGCCATTATTCGGTCTGCTAGCGGCTTCTGAGAATCTACAGTCCCCCAAACGACCATCTCCGAAGTGATCGAAATCCTGGTTGGCTTTGCGAACGTTACAGAGTTAATCCACCGGGGGCTATGCGGTGTGGAAGTCCCGGCAGTCCGGTCCAACGTACTTTACTGACTGAGGTGTTTCTAGAAGAAGGATAGGTAAGGCCGTGGTAATCGTATTTTCGTATTTCCTGGAAGAATCCAATTGGTAAGCCCATTTGCTACCACACGATGGTCAACCTCTTTCTGTCTCCCCATCACGGTAATCCCTTCTGGGGAGCGATACTTAAGTAAGTCTTTCTTATTCCCTATCTCTCCCCTTCCAATATATCTGATCGAATTTCTTCACAAAATCGAGCCTTGAAGCTTTCAGAAGCCACAGCTAACCCAATTCAGTTACGTTAGTCTAATGACAGCAATAGTTCATTCCGTTTAACTTCAGATTCAACTGTGAGTTTGGTCGATCACTATCCGAATGCATTGCGTCATCACATGGCATGCGTGCGAGGCGTATTCGACGCGTATAGCTTCTCGCCCTTCAAACCCACATCATCACATCACTCACACCCCTGTGCAACGTACCACAGCTAACACCGGGTTTCAATATTGAATGATTTATTGAATTATTGATCAGTTAGATTCTTTCGTCGATTCTTCAATTATGTACACAAATTTGTTGCCATAATATGCATGCATTACAACAAATAAACTAATATACTATTTCAAACAACTATATCTACGTACATATATATATATATATATGTATTCTGGTCTAATTATCCTACATTATCCCGCTTCCATCGATAATTTGGAGAATCTGAGAGATTGTTTACGTACAAATACAGACAAACAATATATAGAACACGCACAAATACACGTATGTACAATGGTTGTACTGTAATAGAAATTATCACTGAATTCATAAACCATTGCTTATTAGAGGCTAGATTGACTTGTGATGATAAGCAGTTTGTGGTCCTGTCAAGAAATCGGAAGGTACGGTGGTACATAATCACGCTCTGGTTCGTGCATGTGGTCTGCGAAGTGGTCGAGCAACACCACGTCCCAGTTTAATTGGCAGGACAAACGCCTTGTGTTTTGTGTAGTAAGCAACGAGATCGTGCAGATTTCTGGAAAAACAATACATTGATTGAAGGATCGAGAATCGTGCTGGGTACTGTGGCGCTTACTTGAAGCTTCGATCGATATCCAGACGGAACTTTGGCTCTCCGTTTTCCTTAACGGAATACCCGACACGCATATGGTGAACGGTAGCAGAGTGTACAAATGAAAGCACGTATTGCGTGGACTGTTGCGAGATCACGAATGATCTGAAAACTCGATTATTGATTGGATAGACGTAGTCTGAATGTGTAGTGAGATTACTGTAATCATTACAGTAACGTACCCTTCCTCACATCCAGAGCTGCGCAGTAATCTTTCGGCTTTGGCCGAATCCATACCTTGATGAAACCATATTTGAGCACGATTGTAGTCAGCTATGGATGCTGTAAAGCTACCGTATTACCGGAAGTCCATTATTCTATTGCTATAGGGTCAACAGTTATTAATTAGTGGACTTACCAATACTGTTATCCAATTGGCTCCCATGTCGCACCAATTTTTGGGCACTTCGATCATGTTGCGGCAGCAGACGAGGATATGTGGATGAACTGAAGTCCATAGGAACGAGATCACAATCGTCAAAATGTGCCGGCAAAGTACTCTGTAATCCCCATGAATTATTGATTAGTACCGACATCTCGCGTCTAAGGATCATGGTAGTTTCGTCACTCACCGTAGTCGGTTGAGTAAAATCCATTTCCATGTAGTTATCGGCTAAGTCGCCAGTAGACAGTGAACGTTTTGTGTCGTCTCTTCTGAATCGACCGAATATGGATCGAATGAATTCGTGAGCAACATCGGAAGCGCGTCGACGTAACATCTATAAGTAAATTATTTCTAAATTTACTTATTTCAACTCGAAAACAGTACGGTAGCAAGAGAGGGCATGGCGAAGCAAACGAAGAGCAATGACTGATGACAGCAGTAAATGCACGATTCATATCGATTAGTAAGCAACCAATGGGCATGTGGCTAATCGGGACGAACCTTCTCGGGCGGCAGACCCAATCGGACTGAGGTAGGTAGGTGGGAGGGGCGCTGATGGAGCGGTGATTAAATCCTGCTCCAATGCGATCACTACACATTCCATGAATGCTAATCGGCTTCGACGAGCTGATAATGATGCTAGCCTGAGCGAGTTCACGATAAGGAAATGTTCCCAGTGGCATGGTAAAAAGCTCAACATCCGGTCCCATAATTTGAGTACATAAATAGCTCGGGGACGAGTTGTGGTGGGCGCAAACAGTTTGAGTAGAGCGCAAAAATGTCAGCATGTTAGAAATAATTAACAAACATCTAGAAGAGCTGGTAAAACCTGAGCTGACGGTCTAGAGTTTGGCTGGATGATTATTCGAGATGTTGATGTACTATTCTAGAGTACCCGCACTAGGCATTGCCTAATTCTAGTTGGGTGCATCTCAAAGGTTGTTCAAGCACAAATAAATGAGAACTGGAAAACCAGTATCCATATACTGTAATACTGTTGGAAACTTGCATGATTCCCACGTTCTTGCTATCATGGGCATGTGGGAAAATGCTCTGACTCGATGGGCGGAACGAATATGAATGCGAGCATTATCGTCCAATTACAGATGTACTTGAACAGCTTCAATATGCCAGCTATATGTGCCATGTCGTGAAGGGTACTACGAGGATCTTCAAGGTATGCAAGGGATAAAAGTGCAGCTGCACTCAAGTCCACAGACCATACTATTCATAACTGCCAGAAAAAACTGCTGCAAGTCACGTGACAAACCGAATTCAAAACGAACCACGACTAATTTGCTTTCTGCATTGAATCAAGAACACTAAGCCACGATAATGCACTTAGTCAACGCATCAAGCATGCCCTATATAATTAAACATGTCCCTTTGTCATTCAATATAGATTACAACAGTTGAGTGACAGCGGCAGATATGAAGTGAGCAAAAAATTAGAAAAAAAAAATAAATAAGAGAAAAAATCATTTGCAGTAATTTAACTCAATGTTATAATTTATTTACTTTTCAAAGATTGCTAATGTTAGATTTAATCTCATCTCAGTGTTAACTTCAAGGACTCAATTAAATAAAGGGGAATGGACTTTCTGAACAATTTCGAACAGGAAGACCTTTTTAGTTCCTTCTGCGACTGAATGCTTCGACATTCTTACCGTTCCTTCTGCGACTGAATGCTTCGACATTCTTACCGTCTTACTTATTAAATACTTATAGAAGACGATAAATAGTGCGCATTTGGTCACCACAGAACTTTCGAGTACACGATGGCAGCGTGATTGCTTATCTAACGGGCCATATATCATCGCTACACGCTCGGTGTTGGTAAAAGCACATGAGAAAATTTTCATTTATAAATTTAATAGCCAAACCAACACATCAAAAGGTAATCAGAAAATATATAAAATAAAAATAATAAAATATTTGAGATACTGTATATGATATGCATTACTAGCTAATAATTTACTGCCTCGAAAGGATATTCATCATGATGCCATTTTTAACTTAATTATTACTGCATTAATTAGATTTATCCATTACATACTTATGCTCTTATTTTCATATAAATATGTTTATTATATTAAATCATTACCTATTATCTGAAGTAGGAAGCTCTCTGAATCAATCCTTTTCTGTGCTCGGAAATATTTGTCATAACCACTACCACCCTCCACACGAATGTAAAAGGTTGCGTGAAAAAAAATTACGAAAATATATGCTTTGAATCTGTTCTGAAGCTAAGGAGAACAAAAAAAAAATGGGGGAGTATAATAATTATCGTTTATTATTGTAATTATTGAGATTATTGGAAGGGAATGCTATACCTGGGCCACTTTAAGTATGTGAGTAACTGTTCAGTAGTTTAGTTAATATTAATTTCGTTATTGTATAGATAGTTTTTCGGAGAAAACAATTGAAGAAGGAAATCACCTTGTACGTATTCCTTTCGAGATATATTAAATTTATTATCAATTCTACTTTATTTGGAATCAGTGCCAGTCTTAAGACTGAAAACAAAAGGGAAACTTAGTGCTTGCGGGACAAGAGAGCAGGAAAGATCGAATATTTTATCTATTGGTGCCTTCCAAATGGCCAGACGTACTCGGAAGGGCACTGATAGAACAATGAAATGAACTGTGATCAGCCAAAGACAAGATGCTGACCGAACAAAGATTAATCGAGTCATGAATAAAGCCACATTTGTAAAAGCAATCGAATGCACGGAGCATTCCGAAGGGTAAATCAGAGTTCTGTACATTCACAGACGATGGGATAGACCAAATTAGTACTTGGGAGGGTTTGTAATGTTTGACAGGACCGTACCTCGTCACTGAACTATGGGTACAAGCATAGTTGTGAGGGCAGTTTTTGCACGGGATACGAACCGGGAAGATATCAAGCCGATTCAGGACTGAAAAGCGTTTCTTTACAAACGTTGGATTACTAGCGAGATGTTCCCTCATAGAGCACCTGAATAACATAGGAACATAGGGCTTCGAATGGGCCGCGCGGCCTGAATCTGCGACATTGTTTGTAAACGCCAAGAACCACCGATGTGACAAGGTGGAAAACACGTAGTCAGACTTCGCTAAGCCAGATTACGAGGGAATCCTGTCAGGCCACGGAAAACAGGGAGTGTATGGGACTTCCTTCGGATACAGCGGCTCTGCCCAATAAAATCAGCGACGAGAAGGGAAATTAACATAAATCCACATTACTAGGCAGTAACGATACTGTCGTAGGTTGACCGTAGAATACAGTACCAGTGTGTAGTACCGTAACCAGAGGGCACGAATGACAAAGATCGGACGATTGCGAGACATTTATATACAACGGTGGGCGCTACAGCACGCCTCCGCGTGCAGATGGATGAAATTCCTCTGAAAAGGGCGGAGTCACCTTTGGGACGCAGACATGACACGAGCGAGATAGGGAGCGAAAAAGGCAGCCGGCGATTTACGAAATGTGATGCAATGCAGATGATGAGAAATGATGATGAGGAGAGATATGAACGAGACAACTGATGGATTAGGGAGGGAACAGAGATGCAGGGAATTGACTAGAGATAAAAAGGGAACTGAAGAAGGTCGTAGTGAATCTAGACGTACAGAGATGACTCTCTGACCGGCACATGCGACTCTTGATAAGGTTATCAATTCTGGACGATGCTGCTAACAAGCGAAAGCTGATAACGTATCAATGCTGAACCTATAGACCAAGTTCCGTCAAGTTTCCAGAACATGAATGCCTATGGATTGGACGCTTGCCAGCTCCATAAGGCTTATCAATCCCATTAAAAGCACAGTTCACGATAAAAATGGTTTCTAACGTATCGCCCTCGAATAAATCTGTGGCCCCTCGTATTTCTTATGTGGCGCTGTAAGATCAGAAGGCCACCTAGATATAGAGTTATGAAGGCTCAGAGGTAGTATCGACTGATTGTGAGTGCCACACCCATAGAGGACGAGTTACAACGGTGTTGTAGAGGCCGCGCCACTCGCAAGAGTGACCTATGTAAGAAGTTCAAACAACTTATCATGACCCCAGCGTTCATGAAAAGCTATTTTGCACAGTTTGGCTTGATAAACTTAGCTCTATGCGCGATAGGAACCACTGAGATCTCGTCTGAATACCGCTCCCATGATTTGTGTACTGTACCTTCAGAAATTCATGATCATTTTACAACTAGTGTTTTCCAATACCTAAACCTCTTTGAAAAAGTTGAACAGTTATTCCTGACGGCAACCTTTCAACGTAGCGTCAGGTTCAAATCGGAATCGAACCATACAGGACAGAGACCAACTCTGCGTCTCTTTTCCGACCTTTCAAACCTTTGGTCTCTCATTATTACCCAAGTACAGAAGGTGCAAGGTCGAATATAGTAGGTTCAAGTTCATAAAGTAATCACGGTAGTATTATGAAAATGGTGGGGTTATGGTAATTGTTCGGAGCCTTACTGAATTTTAGTTCTTATGACGCCGAGACAGGAGGACGGCCAGGTTCAAGAAAAGTCTTTCTATCGCTAACGCAGATGGAAGAGCAAGGGCTAGGCTTTCTTCTTCAGGCATACCAGCAAATGAGGGCATCACATGAGGAAAGAAAGGTGCCATCATTGAGATTATGAGAGCTCTCTCTTTGAACTGCTCTTCAGTCCAAACCTAACAGAATATTCCATAGTAATGCTAATTTTCTCAATGATTGGATCTGATTCTCGGCTCAAATCCGTTTGTCAACAAGCCACAGTTAAAGGCACAGTTCACGATAATTTTGTTAATCCAGATTCTGACGAAAAATGGAAGACGTGATGGAAAACAGTGCGATGAAGGCGAATAAAAGTGGTCTGTGGGCCTCCAGAAGATTCAGCCAGCCAGCAAAGGGAAGGTTTTAGGGCTTAAATGATATGCGAAGGACTTCAGCAAATGTTTGACTTCTGCCCTAAAGAAGTCCTTTACAGAAAACCATTTGAACTCGGGGCCATCCCATTTTTTTTTTCCTCAGTAGTTCGAGACCTTTGGGTTATATGTCAGCCAACAAGATCAAACAGTTTAGTTCAGATTAAGCTCGAGAATAATTTTGCAGATAACCTTCGGATCTCAAGAAAGAACGGATGTTAGCCGTTTTTCTCTATTCACACATCATTCCCACCCGGTTTCAGTGAAGGGGAAAAGTGCAAGGTCGGGTAATTAGGTCTTCAACGAAGTCTGTCACTAATGATAAATTTCGTTAACTTTTTACTGGATCAATACTTGAGAGATTGTAGTTCCAATCGTTTTTGCAAGACATTACGGAGCCGATATTACAAACCACACTAAAATCTACTAGTGATAAATTGTCTATAGTACGGAGTGTGAAGTGGGAAATCAGTGGAATGCTCTGTACTCCAGCGAATTCGAATCAGAGTTTAGTATCCGTTTAGTGTTCATCACAGATGAGAAAATTTGATAACACCTGATGAGAAAAAATGGGTGGGAAAGAGTTCAGAAAAGGGTTGGTAAATGGGACCACAGAATATCCCCCCACATTTACAATCTTTACTTTTACCTACTATTATTCATTGTACTTTTGCAGTCACACTGTACCGGTCTTATTTTGGATTGAAAAACATGTGAAGTTGCCACATTTCTGTCCATAAATCATCTTAGGAGGTGACAATAATAAAGACAAAATAAAGTCAAAACAAAAGAGTCATTGTGGCGTGGACACGGCACAACGATGTATGGGGAAATGACAGGTCGATGAAGTCTGCACTTGAACCCCCAAATAATTAATAGGGTAATTAGGAAAATGATTGGGTTTGTAAGAAATCGTTCTCTGCTGCTATAGCGTAACCGTAAATAGAAGACATAGTGAGTAATGGCGAGCAATAATTTCCAGGAAAAATCGCCCACTGTTCAAGAAAAATGCCCTTCAACGAGCTGCTAAGGTCACAAATGGATCAGGCGAACCAGTTGATAACTTCCCTTACTGCTTGACTACTTTGTAACAATCTGAGTAGGCATTCGAGTTCAGTTTTTCGAGAACTGAAACTTTGGGAAGCAACTTACACTATCTGTAATCGTGTGGTTTATACATAGTAAGGATACCCGGACTCTCAGCACCATGAGATTTAGTTTAAGACTAGTTTACAGTCTCTTTCCGGATTGTAGAGTTTCTAGCAATATCTGGTGGCAGAGGGGCGGAGGTGGTGTAGTGGCAAGGGTCTATCTATCTCACACGCACGGTCAGGGGTTCGAATCTCGGATCGATGCTTGCCCAGGCCAACCAAGCCCTCCATCCCTCCGGGACGATTAATCGGTACCAAACTAGTCTTACAATGAAATGCGTAGGGAGGATAAAAGTTGTTCATTGGCTAACCTATGCATTTCATTGTAAAGGTCACATGGAAATTGAAGTCGCAACCATAATGCTGAATGAAATAGAATGCGGGGCACATAACACAAAAGGCATTGTTTAAGGCGGCCTAGAAGCGAAATATTCTACTACCAGTTTCCTTATTTTCATCTACTTTTCTGTATGCTAACTGTACCACCGTGGGACTAATTTTTTGTTCCACGTTGCATTCGCTATATAGGTGGTTATTTCTTATGATATTTTTCTATATTTATTATCTACATTAAATATATTAGAGCTAGAATTTACAGCAGAAGCCGCCTTCCATAGAACGCTCTGCAAAGTCCACTAGCATGATCCAATGAATGTCCCACCTACCGACGCTTTAAAGAGGCCCTTCAAGGCAACCGATACCGTTTTTTGGGCGTCTCCTACAGTGCGATTCGTGTGTGTCTGGGTGTCGACTGGTTTTTCGGATGTCACTATTGCGAAACATCTCCGCTCCGTCTACACGGAAATGGTTTTCAGCATAATTTATGGGACGTAGTTTCTATCTTTAAAAGACTTTCAAGAGAGAACCGGTGGAGAATCGATAATGACAGAAGATGCTACCATTCGAATATTCGCTAAGCCGCTACTTATCGATTCACTAGCTTCACCAGTAGAAGGAACTGTAAGGAATAGCAGATCGGATCGTTGTCCTACTACTAATCTCCTTTGGATCCGACGGAACAGTTATGGGGATGAGAGGTGTCTATCAGCAAGCTGGAAAGTCCTTACCTTTACTCTAACACCCTTATGGGCAAAGTTTCCGATTAGCATGTGGGTGGGATTAAGATTGATTGAGAAAATTAAGATCCAAATATTGGTTTACAAAAGCAAAACTATGCTGCTGCATAGTAGAATAAAGTTCGGTCATGGATTTTCGAGCGATCCATTTCATCCATATGATCATCCATACTATGTACTTTACTTCCAAGTCTTGCGTATGAGCTTCTATGCATGTTCCAATACTTGTTCCAAGATAGCTGGAAATAATTCCAAATAAAATTTTATTAAATACAGTATATTCCTGAACTTACTACTCTAGTCTTTCGAAAGCGTAGGCCTCGCTTTCAGACGTCTTTTTCACAAACATCATTTTTTCTAAATTTTTTTTTTCATTCGATACCTTCAACTAAAACGGAGTTACAGGTACCGATTGCTTAACGTGCTAAGAAGTTCTCACTGCCTACTGTCCCTTTTCTTCTTGAGAGCAATCTCATTCTCATCACTTCCTGTTGTAAAAAGGGAGTATAAAGTACACCCCACGTTTTTATGCGGCCTCAAACCTATTGTCCTAACAATGAGAGGCTGACTTAAGCCTCTTCACTAGTTCCTGATCAATGGATTGTTGATTATGTCACATTGGGTGGGTCCCATTCTGAGGTTGAGGAGCACCGAAATACAGAGTAATTTTCTATAGGAACCATACAACCAGGCCTAACACATAGGAAGGAACATTCTCGTGCTCCACCTATGTTGGTATACGATACGAACGGAGCGTGTCTCTGGAAAAAGCCATAATACATCCGAAAAACGTTGCTGTTCATGTTTTTTACATTGTCGCTATGGAAGGCCATGGATTCCTATTTTCGTCTGAGTAAGCGCGATGCAGTAACAAGGTCCCATACTGGCTGAACAAATTATAGTTCCGTGAATTTTCAAGGAGATATCTAAATATCTCTCGATATTCTTGAGTGATCAGTGGTCACTCTCAATCTTACAATCGGTCAGATAAGTGACCAGTACACGATGGGCAGAGATAGAAACGTCGAGATGTTCATCGCCGTTTCGAAACGATTGAGACATCAGAGAGCGCAGAGTAATAGGCATTGACGAAGACAGTATGTGCAACTGAAGAGAATGTCAGAGAAGGAACAGGCAATGAACACAGAGAAACTTGATGTGAATCCACGCGGTGATTATGGAGAAGAACAAGAAGAGTGCGAGTTGGGAACGACTGATGACGTTGATGTGACGTTTCCGAATAGAATCAGAAATCTCAAAGTCCACTGTGCACACCTGCGCACCCTTGCAAACAGCCAACGACGGGCAGGTCAAGCCACGCCTATCGAGTGACCTCGTGTGGGTGGTCGAGTGCTCACGAGGACATGTGCACTCGATGACGTATGAGAGTGGGGTGATGGGGAGTACACTAAAAAGATATGCATATCGATGACATAAATCTGGGGAAGTATCTACTCATTTTCCCTAAGGGACGAGTGCGAAAAAAAAAACTAAATTCGCCACTTTCAGAAGGCTTGTTGGTATTGATCGGTCAGGGAATCCTGTAGAACTCATACGGGGAATCCCTATGGACCCAGTGCAAGACGCACCATTGCAAATGATTTAAGTGGGATTTTCGATTTTCCGAATAGGTTTTGAGAGAATTGCATCTGGTGATGTTGAAACACTTTCGCAGAGATTCGCGACCTGTCATTTTCCGGTGTTCACGGATGACAAGTCAGAGGTCGAAACATCGTCAATATTCAAAAATTTACTTTAAGATTATTTTCTTTTAGTGGGCGAGTTAATTTTTAGACTAAAGCTCCCTTTTCCTTGAAAGGAAGAACGGGAAAGTTTGGAAAACGAAATGGGAGTCTAGCCTAATTTATGGAACAACAGGGTTGGAAAGTTGTCACTGTCAGAGTAGGACTACTCAAAAGTACCGGTTCCGGTACCCTTTTTTCAGACTTCGAGGACTATTTCGAAAGCGGTTGAGGTACGATTTATGTTCGCCTCGAGTGTTGCCAACAAAAAATTAAAGGTTGAAGAGACCAAACGATCACTCGATAAGAAACGCACTGAACTGCGAAGTCCAGAGTAGGCAACCTCGAGAAATTCAGAAGATTAAGGTAGGAAGCCGTCGAAAAAGGTCTCGGTGTTGAAATCAAGGCCAAAGTCGAAGATGCCAGGGATACGGACAAATGGCGCCGTCCTGATAAGGACAGCGGACACTGCCGCGGGATTAATACCGAGCAGAAAAAAAGGCCAGTGTTGGTCATTGTGATAGCAGTTAGGGAGGCCAGTAGAATATGGGTAGCACCTAAAGGAGTTTATAGGCTACTAGACAGCACATAGAAAGTCGTACGATACTAGTCAGACGGAAGTGAATGCAACCTAACATCATGAAAAAATATCGGACCAACGACTAGGCACCGTTCGCTTTGCGGTTCAAATGAATCTGTTAACAGCAATATTCATTTGCATTCCTCATTTCACTCAGAAGGCTATAAAAATAATCATAAAATCAATAATGTCCATAAATATAATGTGTATGTATTATAGTATAATGAATGCATGAAAAAGCTCCAAACCTCATATACTTTTGATTTTTACTTCGCATTATCTATTTATTCTTTACATTTCCCTCTGCACAGAAAATGTGATTACAGTTTATTGTAACTTGTGGAAAAGTCTTGCACTTTTTTGACTGATTAAGCGCAGTTTCAATCGATCGTCTCGAGTACCCGGTAAAAAATTGTGAGATCGATGTTTTTCAGCTGAAAGCCAAATTTTTCCAGGTAGTTCAAAGTTCTTCTAATTGGAGGTCTGAAAATAACATAACAATTTTTCTTGGCTTTCCAAGACAACAAAATCAGTTCCTTTGAACTTTCGGTTTTCGGACCGATCACATGACTCATGATTGGTTTTGTATTTTATTTGAAATTGATAGCCCTAGCGTTTGGATCGATATCACACTTTTACCCTTAGGAAAATAGTCAATTTTTTTCTCTCCCGTTCACTAGAACCATTTTTCTTTCGAAGCCGCTGAATTTTATCCGAAGGTGGTATAACAGGGTGTGGTAGGCCACCACAAAGACGGAGATGGTCGATGCTCTGAGACCAAGGCGATTTCGTCCGGTTTCGAGAGCGTTCCAACGCAACGTCATCATTCAATGATTTGTGGTGACGCTTCCTCTACACGTGGTCGCTTGATAAAAGCCACGGTCGTCAGAGATTAGTAATCAGAGATAAAGACACCCAAACCAGATGTTGGGAAGGCCTTTCTAAGAATAATCCAAGTATAATTGATTGATAATAATTTACCGGGTTTATTTCTTTCAATTGAGTCTTTTTCTCAGGAAAGAGTTTGTCTGAAAACTTCTGAGAACAGTGGTTTGTTCAGTCCGTGACAGCCGGTTCAGATCCCGAAGTGTAGCACAAAATGAAATAACATTGTTGATGAAATGTCAATGTAATGTGTACACAGCTTTTACATGCTGACCTATAGGTAGAGAATAAAAGGAAACGATTCAGTCAAGAAATATGCTGGATCGTTGGCTCCTCAGTCATTTCTGCAGAATAATCCATAACCTCAACTGAACACTTCTGCAGAATTTTGTGGCCTTTGGTGGTCGAAATCCACATGGAAAATTTTTTCGAGACCCATCCATTGCCCATAGGGTAGGCTACGCAAATTTGTTCTTAAATGGGTATTGAACCCCTTCTCCAAATTCGATCCTGGGTGTCGGGAAGAAGCATTTCTCACATATTTGGCGTGGATGCGCCATGCCCCCGTCTTTTCTTGGAGACGTTGAGCCATTTAAGTGCGTACTCTGGTTCCCACGGTGACATAAAAGAGAAGCGTTCTCTTTGTAGAATGATCTTTTCACTGTTCCATGTAACCTCTTACCCACAATTCAGATGAATGTGTCATGAAGACTAATAAACCACTGATGGCAAAATTAGGCGTCAAAGATTATCCCAACCAACGGCAGCCGTCTAAGCCAGACACTACCGGTTCCACGAGGTTCATTATTTCGCGGTGTTGTCGGCGCCCAATGTATTCTTATGACTCATCCGTCCCCGAAACAGACTGATTTTGCCCTTGATGAAACGTGAGTCTGTCTGGTGGGCGCTGAGAGAGAAAGAGTGCAAGAGACGGATCCAGCGTGACTATAGTCTTTCGATCTCTCGAACTCCTACCGCGAACACGAATCTAGCCCTGGCGGTGACTCAGAGCTTCCGGCGCTGACAGGATTAGAAGGGAAATATTTCGTTGCAAGAAAAAAAAAAGAACAGATGAATGAACGAGTGTCACGAAAATCCAGCGAAAAGTTCGGTTTGTAGGACGGGAGCACTGCTGAAAATCCCGTCGGAACTGATCGAGACCCCGACGCAGCTTGTGAAAACCGGGACTTCACAAGTTTCAGAGATTTCAATGACTAAATAAAAATAATATTGGCTCAAAATATACCCCATTATACTAGTTACTATCGATGACTATAGCAATTATTGACCGCTTTATGCACTTTTTTCATTTAGAACCCTAAATCTGAGGTAGAAAGGTAAGACAAAGAAGGTAGAAGATGAGTATAACAAGTGAGGGATTCGAAAGGAATCCTCAGACCCCGTCGAGCATTCGATCGAGGCTTTACTCGGCTGTGGCTCGATGAAATGGCCTGATTTAATGTGGTACTGTGCTTTTAGATCAAAATGTGAACTGCCGCGCGTGCAGCAAATCCTCACTATGACCTGAAAGCCCACTGCAGTTTGAGTTGAGACCTCCCTTAGACCATACAATGCGGCGTCAAAAGACTTCTACCGCAACCCATCCGGCGGCGCGAACGTGCCGCGTGCGACACTTTTGTACTCGCCGTCCCGAACTAGTACTATGAACGCGGTGCGAAAGAATGTGAATTGTAGAAGTATTAACGGATATACGTAATAAACAAATTCACTAATAATGGCATCAAATCAATGACTAGACTAGCTGAAAGTGAGCAACAATTAGTGACAGCCACCTTAGACACATGTCATTTTTTTCCCTTAAGATAACCATTAGAGTTTATTCAAATAAGGGGAGAGTTCGCCTGCTCTTCGCAGAATTCGGTCCTATCAACAGCTCACCATCGATACTGCGCATAAGAATATATGCTACCTCCATTACCTACACCATCGATCTACTGAACAGCAGTGGACGAGCAAACAGTCTCTAGTTTGGGCCTGCTTATGCCATACCCTTCAACGTCTAACCCTATCACCCTGATTCCCTCCCTATCGAACCCAAAAGCAAAACTACACAATGTAGCCTTATCTTGAATATGCCTGTTAGTATATTTTTTATTAGACCTTCTTACAAAGAAGTGGATCTCTGGAAGCACTTCCTTATGCTAATCTAGGTCGAGTCTCGGGTAAAGTTAAAGTCGGGACTCTTCGAAGGCATCCTAGCGCCCACGAGCATATACAAGAAAAAAATAGAGTTTGTTGAATTGATCATATGTGAAGGATGAACGAAAGCTTGACATTCTCCTAGAGGGAATGGACAAACTTTCGGGACGCGCAGTGCGGAGGCGATCAGAAAAAAGGGCATTGCGCAATGGTCTCACCTAATGAGTTTCCTGTTCGGGTAACATTCCTCTTGGGTTCACTACACAACAATATGGATATCTGGATCCCATGCAAGCTATTATGTAGGTCTAAGATCGTATGGCTCACTCAGTTAGGTCTCTATTATTTTAGCGACGCAGCTTCTAAATGGGCTTCAGAGAACTACGGGATAGAATAGACTCTAGAACAGCATTGCCGATCATGTTCTGAGGTCGCAAAAAAAGCTGGCTCAAGATCACAATGAACGTTTGAGCTTGAAAGAGAGGGAAAGAATGTCACGCTCAGCTCAGATCATTATGGACATTGGACCAGTGCAATGATGTCATGACGACTGGCGCTGTGCCAAGAGGAACGGCAGCGACAACGTTGCAAAAACCAGTTTATACTCCACATCACATTCCGCGCAAATGTTTTGAATTGGTAGATATAAGTTGGAATCCGGCAGAGAGTCACAGAACCATCAGGTGACCCTCCAAGTCCCACTTACTAGGGAAGATTTCCATTTCTTGGAAAGTGAGAATAGACTGGAACCGAGCTCTGATTATTACAGGGCGATCACCTAAAAAGAGTCCATTTCACGTATGCCCACGTGACTGTTGTGAAGGTCTCGACAAAACAGAGAAGTGAGTTCAAGGTGATCGCCCATGTGGTCATGCTAAGCAAAGAGTACGACTTAATCAAAAGTTCGGGTCATTGATGATGCAGGGTTTGATAAATAATTCCAATATTAACAACAGTACGGGATGAAAAACTCAAGACGACATGAAAACGCAGTAAGGCTCACAAGTAGGAAATTATCAGAAAAGAGACATTCGGAACGAACCTTGGAGCCATTTAAACGACGTAAGGAGCAGTAAGTTTTGAGAAAAAATGTAGAGGATTTGAGCTGCAAACTACATGGTACTGAAGATTTGAAATAACGGAGAGGTTCCATGAAAAACGTGGGTGGACTGTCTGGTTGACTCAGCCATGTGCACTCGAAATAACGAGATCATCGCGAAGCTCTAGTCGTTTGACTGTTCCCTCTGTCAATAGCCGAGGCCAATGTTGATGGTAATTATGATGGTCACTATCGACTCACCTACTTCCTGAGCGCCCCCTGTCTTTGACATTCTGCCGTAAGAGATGGACAAGATAGCAATCGTCCTAACTAGCAGGCTGTTGGATTTGAACATGGAACGCGATGAGGTTTTGAAGTCGGAGGAGCTTCACGGTGAGTGAGTCATTTGTCAATTATGAAAACTGGAATGCACGAGGTTCCGGCAGCTATGGAATGCAATTTCAGCCGCAGACGTACAAAAAATGGCCGTCAAGAGCTATTACGGAATCGCGTCATAAGACACCGTCCCTTTTGCTCAACACATATGTCCTTTCGTTTTTTTTTCTGA